GATCATAAATACTATTTTTGGCATTTTCCAAGTATTCGCACTGATTTGATGTAGTAAATTTGTGAAAACACGTTTTGGTTTGGCAAATGTATATTTGTTGTTTTTAGTGTAATAATATTATTTATTTTTATTTATTTTTCTTTTTGGATTAATAATTTTTAGATTTAAATTTAATTTAGTTACTACGCTGAAAGGCCAGTTTTTGAATATATTTTTAATATTACATAACAACTCATAATGTTTATGTAATTAATTATGGCAAAAGTAATGTTTTCAAACATCAATGATTTTTGCTCAGTTTGCTATTTAATTAAATAGATATTATTTATTATATATATTATATATATGTGCGTAAATAAAAATCATAACTTTAAAATTTTTCATTACGTGATCTACTCTGTCGTTAAGTTTTTATTATTAATAAATCAAAGCTATGTTAACACTAAAGTCAATTTATAATAAAGATATTATAGTTAATTTATTTTATTATTAAAAATTCACAAATAGCTAATTATTTATTAATATTTTTATACCTCTCAGCAATGTACATATATGAAATGATCATTAACTTTGGTGCGAAAAAAGTAAGTACCAGAGGGAGAAGAGATAGACCCATCAAAATTTATACATGAAATTTAGTATTCGTCGTAGTAATCTAAAATCATTTAAAGCAGAGGAATATATCTTAGAACCAATTTTCACAGATAAGAGAATTAATGTTTAGTTCTAAAATAAAATACCATCAAATTCATATGGTCATGAAAGTTATAAATAATTTGGCATGATCGCAGACAACTCTTCTTTCATTTCATTCTTTATTTTGCAATAAAAATCTATCATTTTCAAAACAATTCAGCAAACGAATATCTCGTTTTGCCCATGAATCGAAAACTCGCGAAAATTTCTAAAGGTAATCAATGGTATTATCTAACTTTTCTGAGTCATTCTATATAATAAAAATAACCACTCCTCATCACCTCACGCCATTTCATAGATATTCAACTTGAAAATGATAGTATGTTTATATTTTCTTAGTATAAACAAAAAATAATTTACCAAATCAAAGAATTCATCATCTGGCTAAAGTGAAAGTTGAGTGGTTTGCATTGCGTACTGTTATTCTGAAGGTCATGGTTCGAGCTTTGGTCCGATTAAGATCGAAAATACAATTTTCTTACTGCGATCGCCCTTCGACTGTATTTCTGACATGAAATAAAAAAAAAAAAAGTTCACATAAAATCCATCGTCCGTTTGGTGGCGTGCGTTTGTTGGAAAAACGTTTAGGCGAATACGACAAATCCGAGGAAGAGCTCGGCCGGAAATTGCTTCAGAGGTTACAAGGGGACAATTATATAAATCTATTGTATATATATATAAAGGAAAACTAAAAAATTTTATATACGAGTATGTAAAGATTTTTTTAGACGGGGTTTTTTTGCAATGAGGGAATATTTTTTTCGGGATCGGTCCTTTTGATTTCTGCTACTTGGCTGATACTCGCTTTAGTTTGCAATTTCGTAATAAACAGACTTACTCCCGAACAACGTTTTCGAACGTTTGCAAATTTATTACCACAACTGTAGTCTGTTTACGGTTATAATACGCAGCTTCAAACGCGCTATTGCTGCTGTGGAACAGTTTATCGAAAAAGAAGACTCGAAAGAGTTCTTCCACCATAGCACGTAACATTTCGAGTTGTGTTCATTCACTTTATCAAATTTTATGAAGCATTTTGTAGAAGAGTCTCGATTTGCTACCTTACAAAGTCCAACTCGAAAAAGTATTGAAGCCGAACGACTGTAAAGCGCGTCGTACATTCGGTACATCGACCCAAATCAAGATTGCCCCGGATCGTTATTTTCATAGGAAATATTTTTTCAGCGACAAAGCTCTCTTTTGGTGGTTGAATGAGTATTGAATTGCAAATATGATAATTTACCAGCTCTTTTTGAGACACTTTAACATCCGCAAAGTGTCACTATTTGGTATGCTCTTTGGGCAGAGGGAATTATTAGTCCAAATTTCTTCAACAATTAAGCCATTATTAATGACTTTTTCGTACCTGAATTGAAGAATTGATGTGGGTTTGGTTCTAACAAGACGGCGCTCGTGCGATTTAACACCGATGACCTATTTTTGTGGGCTAATGTGAAGACGCTTTGGAAGATAATACTCGGCACGTCATTGCTGAAATATTATATGACTCCAATTGCGCAAAAAGTGGACGAAAAGTGAGCCTCTCGGCAGGAATTAATTCACTTGCCGAAATAATTTTCAGAACACAATGGCGAACCCATATCTTTACAATAAAGCTATATTCTTGTCTATAACATAAAATTATAGGCGTCTGATTTCTACCTGAAAAGTCAGTAGATCAACTTTAGTCCTAAAAAATATATTTACTTTTATGCATCCATTTATTGTTTAGTCATATTTATTTCAAGAATATAGTCTATCAACAATTTCAAAATGAGAAGTTTATAAAAATGTTTTTTTAAAAGTCTCGTCTTTCTAGGGTTAAGTTTTTTTAGTTTCGCTCTCAATTGTTTAACAAAAGCATAACAGTTAAGTCAACATTAAAACTGCGTATACAATTAAACAAACTATCTAACAATACATTGTAGGAAAAATAAATTTTATTTCCTTTACTGTATTATTAAAATTCTATATTGATATTTCTAAGCAATGTAAACAAGAGTACACATTTACAACCGGCGTCTCAGTAAAGTAACATTTGATCGACATCTGTTATATGTCATAAAATGAAAAAAACAACAGCAAATGCAAGTACGTTGCATGAATACAAACTATGCTCAAAATGGTTATAAAGTGAGGTCAATTAACAAATGTGTTAAAAATTATGTAATAAATATAATAGTAATTTTCATTTAATGAGTTGAAAAGTATAAAATATGAATAAATTATTTAATTATAAATGAAATTAAATTCGTTGGAAATTAGCCAAAAAAAAAATCAATTAATACACTAACAAAATAATACTCGCACATATGAAAGAAATTATCTTCTTCCGGTTTCTTTTCTGAAAATTTTATAGGCTGATATACACGTACATACACAATCTATATAAGCACATTACAGTCATTATATTTTTACACTAACGGTGAAGGTGATTTACTAGAAAGATAATTAACTGTCCGTTTATAAGAAGAAACTATATTTAAAAATTCTTCAATAACAGATCCTTTTGCTCTAAGAAAAACCTTTGATTTTCTGTCGATGGGTTGACGTATTTAACAAAAAAAAAATAATTTTTCAATAACTGTGGATATTGATCTGGTCAGAATTCGTAGTTATGATAATATATTGTATAAAAACTTGGCATATATGCCTATATTTACAGTCAGACTAGTTTTTACGCCACAGAAAAAGGTGGCTCCCGGGCGCACGCGTTGTACTAGATCAATAATGTCTAACGCCCAAACGGCGGTTACAGGAAAGCTCTTCAACAGTAATAAAGATTACATTACCCGTTGAATCATGAAGATTTGCATTATTAAATTCCAACTTATGTGTGTGGTTTCAAAAAAAAATATATATAAACAATTTTTTTAAATCCAAAAAAAAAATCAACAAAAAAATAATGATAATTTTTAGATTCTTTAATAACCATTTTATTTTACTAAAATTCAAAAGGCTGTTAAATTAGTTGAAAATTTTTTAATAATAATGAAATTCAGTTTTTTTTAATATTTTTTAAAATGTCTGTGGTAAATCCTTATTAAATTAATTTAATTAAATTAAATTAGCAAAATTTTTTTGCTATAATGCTGGAGTTTTAGGGAAATCATTTTCTATTAAACCATTTCTTCTTTTTTCGCAATAATATGACTCAGTGAGGTGGTATGTGTACGATTGAATCTAACATTTAATTAATTTGAGTAAAATTTTCTGATGATAAAAAATTCTTTACTCAAATTAATTCATTAATTTAAATTTACATAATAAAAGACTAATGTAAAATAAATTAAAATTGAAAAAAAAGAATTCTAAATAAGCTTGGCTTTTCCTAAAGTTTTTGTATTTGTGCACATAACATTTATTACACAAAATAATGTTTATTTATATCAGTTAACTAAATAACCGCAGAGTTAGAGTCCTTCTTGACCAACATCACAGAAAATAAATTTTTCTAATTGCGGTCACCCCTGGGCAGGGAATGTTAGACCTCGAGTGCATTTCTGACCTCAAATAAAATAAAGGTAATTATAAAAACCCACCTCCACCTTGGAGGTGGCTTTACATAATCTGCAGGTCTCTACGTTTTTTGGAAAAACATCAATACGCACACCACAAATTGGGGGAGGAGCTCGTTTGAAAATCGCTTCATTACGAAACGCTTTTTATAAATAAAAAAATATTTAAAGAATTTCTTTATAATAAAAACTTCCTTATATAAATTATTTAATTACTTTAATGTTTAATTAAAAAGTAATATTATATGAAGTAAAACACTAATATAAAGAATTAAAATTAATTAATTAAAAATCCCTAATCTGCTTAACTTCGTTTGGGATCTTTTTACTTCTGCTCACAATAATTATTATATAAAAATTCTACTACTTTTTTTTGCAAATTTGCTTCATAAGAAGATTTAACAAAAAAATATCTTAGTCTGCTTTAATTATGGGGATATATTAATATTTTTTTCCCTAATAGTTATATTTTATGAAATTTTGGTTACAAATCTATAAAAAAAATTTGCAATATTTTCACAAATTTAGTTTACTTAAATCTTAAAATTTAAACTTGTTTTGCGTTGTTTTTTTTTTAAATCAAAGAATTCACTTTCTTTCTATCCGCACCACACTTGGGTCTACACATTACCCACGTACGAGTCACATGGTGCGTGCGATCCACATTTGAACGCAAATTTGTACGATCAATGTAAACTGCATTTACTGTTACACAGATGTGCATGCATTCATTTCAGTATTGCTTACAATATTTTCTTTCGTACAGCAAACACTATATTTATTTACCTTGGTAGAGCACACAAAATACAGCCAACACTAAAAACACTTTCATTTTTTTTTCGTTTGATTCGTTTAATACAAAAATTCGTGTTCTCTACTCGTACCACCGTTGTTGCAGTGCAATTGTTATGAATACATACAATAATTACGAATGTCACTGTGCGAAATCTTGTGACAAACTAAAAATCGTACCAACGATCGTCGCGCGTGAAAGTGATCAGTAAGTAGCAGTCAGTAGTAGCACCTTAACGATAGCGCCAAGCGGAGGAAGGGAAGGTAAATAATAAATATCGAAATTCATACACATATATGTATGTATGTATGTGTGTGCGAACATATGCCGGTAGATATGTTTGTAGATATGTATGTTTGTTTGTTCTGTACGAGGAAACCCGGAGTAATAGCACCGCACCGTTGGGTGGCAACTTCCCAACTGAAATCACATCGAGTGCACGGCTGATCAAGAAAGCGCGACCGTATTCAAATACCTGCAAAAATTCTAGTCAAAAACACAATATCCTCACCTATAATGAAGTACACACCTACACACAATCAGAAATACTGCAAATGTTTTACAGGTAGCTTTCAGCAAACGGAAGCAACAGTAGAAAGAAATATAAAAAAATATAAAATAAATGAAAAAAATGATCGCAAGGCCAAACTGTCAACAGACTGTCCAACAACTGACCGAGTTACATAAATATATGTGTATATATATATGTGTATATTTGTAGATTAAAACATACATTTGACAATAACAAACAATCAATCGGAACAACGAAGTTATCAAAATCTCACTGCCGACGCTATCGCTGTTGCCGTGGCGTAAAACTTCAAGTCTTGAATATTGTTAAGTTCATATCTTCGGATACCTTCCTAACAGGACGAAGTGCTCACCGTAATTAACTTATTGGTTGAGTAAATAGTTACTTTGTGAAATTATTTACATATGCATATAATATACATATTTACATATGTACTATATACAAAAACCCATATATATACGCACATTCACTTGCGCAAACACTTATCACTTTTATAATTATTTAATTTGCACAAGTTAAAAGTGATCGTAGAAAATTTATTACAAAATAATACACATTAATTTGATAACTCGCCATTGGGGGAAGAGGAAGAGAGCAGGAAGAGTACTGTGAAATGGTCGGTAAGAACTTTACTGTCGTCGATTAGTGTCGTAGCGGTAAGTAAACCTCCTCCCTACTATTATAGAAAGGGTAAGTGTGCTAGTGAACGGGCACAATCTAGTAACCAGCAGTACTAAGGTGAATTTCAAAAAATGATGTTAACAAAAAATAAATGCATTCGAAGCAAAAATTCATTTTTAATTAAGTAAAAAGTTTAGGGGGTACACCTAGTTTAATAGCCTAAAAAAGGTGATTTTTGATAATTTTTATTAAAAAAAATACTTTATCAATCATTTCAAAATTTTAAGAATATATTTATGCATGTTTCAAAAATATACAGTGAAATTTTTGAAGAAAAAAATTATATATTTTTTAAGTCAATCTCCAATGGCGCGAAAAAGAGGTCCTTCACTGCTGCACTGATTCCAGCCTTCTCCGTGGATGAAATCTAAAAAAAAAACTCTCTACTAGATATTATTGTCAGTACAATGACTTACGAAAAAAAATTCAAAATTGACAATGTGGCGGCTTTTTAAAAAAAAATAGTCGAATTTTACTCAAAATGTTGGTCGTTTTGACCTGCCAAATCTCGATTTTTTGATCAGATCAAAAATCGATAGGTCATTGTACGGAGAACTATATATAGAAGTAAGTAATCACTGCAGCGAATTCGGAAAATGCTGATCGTTTTCACTCGTAGCTAATGTGACTCTCTAGCTGCCGATCGGCTGCTCTTTAAACTGCTATAACTCAAAACCAATTTAAGATATCGATATTATATGAAAAAAAATGAAAAAATTATAAGTAATATTTAAATTGATTTTTAGAGAAATAAATATAATAACTGATAAGCAGACGCGAGAAAGCGATTTCCTATTAAAAGAAACATGTAGGTAGTCGTATAGGGTGTCCTAGAATTAATGCAAGATTTGAATTAAATACTGATTGTGATTTTTTATATAATTTTGGTTTGCCCTATATCTGCAGAATCCGTAACACCTACCCAAGATCGTGTAAAAGAAAAAATTTGAGATGTTTCTTACGAGTTGGTCCCACCATAATATAATACATAACAGAGGAATAAATCCTAGCCATATAAATATCTTAAAAAAAAAAAACAACCTTTAAATATAAAAAATCAAAACAATATATCCTCGAAGTTGGTCAAGCACATCATAGAGATCGGGCATGATTATGCACTTCCAAACATCGGACATGCTATGCTTATTTCCAAATCACAATAATTTTTGTCGGTAATCCCTTTCCCGTAACGAAAGTATGGTTTTTTTGAGCAAATCGAACTTGGTTCCAGGTTTCTGGCCTATTTTCAATAAACAAAAGTACTCCATTTAGGCATATTATCCGAAAATTTAACTAAAACAAACCATGAATATACATAAATTTTCAAAAAGTTCGATCCATTTCCTGTACATCGAATTTCAAGTAAATCGAACCATATGTAAATTTTTTTCGAATAGCTCCTTTTTTAGTCCACTCCCAGGAGAAAAGAGTAGCCTTCCTATTGATCTAAATAAACACCGCTCTATATACCGAATTTCAGATATAACGAAATAGAAATACGATTCTTCGTAAAGCGCAGTCCCTGGTCCACTTCTAATCTGGCGAAAATTCAAGTCAGTCCATCGGTAACTTTTTGTCATATGCAAATATATACGAGTACATTAAGAGCGCAAAGTTTACGAAAATTGTTTTTCTCTTTCATTCGCACGGGACAGACGGCCAATAACAAGTATTATACGAGCATTTTAAGGCGTTTGCGCGAAAAACAAACGACGTAAACGTCTGGAATTGTGGGCCAACAATTTCCGGAAACTTTCATGACGATAATGTGTCATCACATCGATCAACCACCATATTTGGCCGAATGCAACCTTTTTTTAGAAAGAAAAATCGAAAATTGAGCATGAAATTGAAAAATAAGTTAGTCGTCCGGTAACTAGCACATTTGCCCTATATACACAGCTATTATAATTTTTGTGTACACAAAGGGTACGTAATGGAGTGCAAATTGGAAGTAGCAACAAATTTTCGCAAACAATTCATTCAAATGTGAATTAAGCGATTTAACGCAGAAGTAAACCAAGCAAACTGCATACATACCTATATATATACATACAATTGTTTTTGTGCACACCCTTCAGAAAATATATTTATTATATGAACTAGTGAGACAGCCATTGGTAATGATGTAAACTTGAATAAGCTCGGGCACACAGAGGTCCTACTCCAATTTCTATCCAATAAACGGTGGTGAACTAAATTAAAAAAAAAATAATAATAAAATAATAAAAAAATATAAATAACAGAAATATGTAAAAAGGCTTACCAATAAATTTGCTAGTTTGATCTCATTTAGTATGTTTAGAAAATTATGTACTCAGCTAAAGAAATAAGTAAAAGAAATCGATTAAAAAAGTGTAGCAAATTTTTTTATTCAATTTTAGATTTTTCGAACTGAAGGTTTGATTTTTAACCGCTCTATGTAAGCTGCTACAGTCTCTAGTCTCTAATTTTCGGTGCACCGTGAAAGATTTCACGTCTCAATTGGCTGAAAGTCAGGCATTCGCCAAGGGGATTCTCCAGCTTTTCGTCCTCTAACTGCTTATATATTCACACAGAATCTACAAAAATACCAAGTTCTCTTCTGCTTAGTGATAGTAAGTGTTTGATCCACAATACTTTGGTGCTATGTCTTCTGTTTGAATTGATACAGGACCTTAACGCACTCTAAGCTCTACTGTTTTAAACCACATTTGCGGGCGATAAAATGCTGCCAGCAAGAAATGTAACAGATTCCGCTGTTAAAACCTTTGCCCATTTAGCATCTTTAGTAAAATCTGCAATTTCTGCTTGGTAGTCAGTTGTTGTTATAGAGCTTGGTGGTCACAGAAGAGCCTTGCTCACCTGACTGTCTCGGAATATGACCTACTAATATAGATATCTTTTGAGTTACCTTGAGCTACGTGCATTCGAAACTTTCTAAAGAAAACCAACGCTTAATGACTTCTGTGGAAGCTGCACGAATGTAGAGACTTTTTCTACCAAGAGGAACTTCCTATAATATACATAATTTATATATAAATGATGCTTTGTAACTGCTGAAGCGATTTCAGGCGAGATCCTCCTCCAATTTGAGTTTTATCCAACAAATGGAGGGACCTACAGTTTATACTAAGCTACCCCCTAACGGCCGATGGTTTTTTATGAAGAAAAATAATTTTCTATAATTTTGGATGTTGGTCGAACCAGAACTCGAACTTCCGCGGTAAGGCACGACTGTCGCAAAAGCCGACTAAAATTACCGCAACAGTGGGATCTTTATATCGACACGGCCCGGATTTTTATTCGGCCAAAGACTATCATTCCCTTATTTCTGTTGGGAAATATTTTTGCGCTTACAACAACAACAACAATAGCAAGTATAAGATTACAGATTGGAGTTACACTGATTTGTTCAAAACAGATATTTAGAGATTCTTACGTTTTAGAAAAAAGATGGCATACTTTTCGAAGAGACCTCGTGTATTAAGGCCAACATTTTTATATTAAAGTGTGACTTTATTTTTTCAGTTTCATAAAGCTTTCTTCTTCTTTAAATGAGAGAAGCAACACTTCCATGATTGATTATATTCTCTGCTAGATTTGAACATATTTGGTAGTCTCTCTCCTCCTATTTTATCGTCAATCTAATCACCAAAATTTTGATTGCCATTAGATCCAGTAGAATTCAGAATCAGAGTACCGTCAGCACTTTCAACAGTTTATCAGCCACTCAGATAGTACGATACATCTCAGATCCGATTCCTTAGGGGGTACGATAATTTTATTCTGGTATGTGTTTCTCTCTTCTTGTGTTATGAAATTTACTACCTCTAGAACAGCACACGAGTTGGAGACTGTAATATTTGGTATGCATTACGTGCTTGACGAGACATTTTTTTTGGTGAACCAAAAAATTTAATATTATGTAAGACTTGTCTGTATAAAGAAATCGTGCTGGTAGTGCCATAACTGAAAACGAATAGTTTATATATTTGATTGTGTTCATAATATAATGCACTAAAAATTGCATCTTTGTTATTTTTTTTTCTAAATTAATTATAAGTTAGAAAAAAAGTTTTAAGTTTCTATTTCGCTTTAATATTCTTCTTAAACAAATCATCGAATTTAAAACCCATTTTGAAATTTATTTTCGAAATTCATATACTACTATATGTCGCAATTATGACAGTAAACAAATGGAAGTTTATTATTTAAAAAACAAATGCAAATATTACAAAACAAATATATTAAAAATTTATTAAATATATATTTAACGTTTATTTTTAATATAATAAAATTGGAAATGAGGTTAGACTTTTTTGTTAATTACTTTAACTTACAGTTTCATAACGTTAATTGAAATTATATAAATGAATTATATACATTTACATGCCTATTTACTATTCAGTAAATTTTGTTACCATTTCGTATTCTGAGCTCACTGTTACTCTGAAAATTTTGTTTCCAGCGAAATAGGAGGTAACAAAAATATCTGCTGTTTGATTTTGTGTTGTGAATTTGAGAAAAAATAAAAAACCAAAATGGGTAGGCATATTTCAGGTCTGGAATTCATTGAAGATGAAGAAAAAAGTGCAAAAAGCCGTATTTCAAGAAGTTTTCGAGACTGAAAAATAGCCATTTAATTTATAAGATAACGTTTTCGTTCAGCTTTTTTTGTTGTCCAGGCATATTTTCCATAATTAGGTTCAAATATTTATGATTTAATTAACAAATTAATAAAACTTTTTAATTTTTTTGTGCACCGTCTTCCATTTCGTTGTGAATATTTTTGTTTTTACTTTATCAACTGGCAAATGTAATTTGACATAGACGAAAAAAGCAGTGCTGCCAAATTTTTTTCAAACATTGTAACCAATTCGCCAGAATACCAAATTCAATTTCGGGCGTTAAAAAAAAGTAACAAAATTTACTTTACGGGTAACAGTGAGAATAGACCTGTTAATGGAGAAATAAATTGAGATTAAATTTTTTTATTTAAAAAAATATGTTGTGAACGAAATGCATATATATATAATTTTTCTTATTTTTTTTTTTTTTTTGAGTACATTCAAATTTTTATAGTACTTCTAAGTACAATATTTGCGTAATTAATTTGGCAATAGACTTGCAGGATTTTTTTAAATTACAACGAAATTCAGAATTCTAGTTTTATCTGAATTTAGTAATATCTCTAAAGTTTGTACAGAATTAACTAGCTACTGTCAATGAGTTATAAGAGAAACAGCCATTTATTTGAAAAAAAATTCTTAATTCTATTAATTGTGACTATATTTTCATTTGAAGAGCGCGCTTTATTTGTATAAAAAATTGTTGGAGGAAAACATTTTCGAATGCCAAAATAAAGGGTTTCTCTTCGTTATACATATATATTTTTTTAATATATATTTTTTTTTTTGAATAATTAATTTCTTTTAATAAAATATTTTTTTTAAATCAAATAGATATATATTTTTTTAATATAATGTAATGTAATTTTTTGTAAATATAAAATATTTTCATTTTAAGTGATACAGCGTTTATGATTTTATTTATTTACTTAATTTATATATATAAAAAATACGAAATGATTTACTAAAAGCATGCATCGAACTGAAATGCTTTCAACGAACACTGGTTGCATTTGTTTACTAGCAAAATTTAGTCAAGAAAATATTTCAACTACACAGTTTCCATTTTAAAATTATTTTTTGCTTAAGTCATTTAGGTGTTAATAAATTTTACTGCTAAAAAAACAGTCTATGGAAACGTGTAAAATATCTTTGACTTGCAAATACACGACGTATTATTGTGAAAAGTATTGAGTAGAGCGCAGAAAATGCATTGAGTAAGTTATGTGGTGATAAGAAAAAATTTCAAAATAGTTGTTTCAAAAAATTATAATATTTATAACAAAAACTTATAAGTTCACGTTAGTTTCCTTTGCTTGTCCGATTATATTGATGTGAAGAGCTGCGTAATTACATACCTAAATCTAATCTACGTTAGTCTAACTATTAACTTAACATATTCTTAAGCTAAGCGTTCTTAATGATTTGTGACAGAAACATAAAATAACTCAAAACACATCAAAATGTCATAATGAAGTGTAAGTTTCGCAAGCGCTGACGTGATAACGACAACAATTGTCAAATAATTTCTACAGCTTTACAACTTTCCAACATGTAAATTATACACCTAAACTACTAATATCTACATAAATTACAAACATATATATGTAGTTAGATACATACATACACAAATACTTGATAATGTTTAATGAGTATTAATGCTTATAAAATAAATCATAAATTAGATAACAAAGCAAATAGTAGTATGTATGTAAATAAATTAAACGCAGATCAATGCAACGCTCCAATATATGAATCATTCATATTTCTCCTCTTTGGCTGACATAAACATTTTTTGGCACGCGTATGTAATATGGTCTGCAATAAAGATTAAAATTAATCAATTATCTAAATAAATATATATGTACAAGTATGTACGCAAAGAGATATTTTATAAAAAAAAAAGAAATACACATACCAATTACACTCTGCAAAACCTTTGGCTTGTCCTTCCACACAACACCGACGTAATAGAACGGCACACCTATTACGGTTATCAGTACGCCCATGCCCACTTCATAGGGTGCTACATAAACAGGCACGACCACAAGAAAGGCACATATAACAACAAAGATAGCTGGTATCCAGAGCGAGACCTATATTTTTTTATGAATGAAGAAACCAATAAAATACAAAAAAAAATAAAATGTAATTGAATGATTTACAGCCGTACATATATGTACGTATATACATACATACATATGTAGAATATATTAAACTCAAAGAATTACCTTAATTGGACGCTCCATATCGGGGCGGGTATAACGGAAGTATAACACCGCCGATACAGACAGCATTATGAAAAACGACTCCACTATGCTGCTATAAGTGATGAGCACATAAACATCACTCACAACTAGCATTATAATAGACAAGATACACTATAAGGAATGCGTTAAATTGGATTATTATACATACATTAAAATTCTAAGAAATCTGTAAATTGCACTGTTATACATTGTGTATTTATGTCTGATAATAAGAATTATTTTTTAGTTAAATTACCAAAAACACCAGTGACGGCACTGGCGTAAATTGTTTGACACTAATATTTGACAAGATTGCGGGCATATGACCGTTACGCGCACCCACAAAACACATGCGAGATGAAGTCATTATATGTACAGAGAGACCGCCAAAAGCAGAAATCGCCACCATAATGGGTATAATGAAAGACCAAAGACCGAGCACGCGGTTGCCAAATGACTGTGGAAAGGAAGGAAATAATATATATATACGTATATAAGCAAATATATAATTTAAATTGTATAAATTTTTCTATTTTTTTTCAGCACACTTCAGCTTCATCTAACGCACCACTGCAATTGCATCCGATGCAATCATTTCTGCGGGCGACAATACCGCCAAATAAGCCATATTGGCGAGCACATAAATTGCCGTAACCAGCGGCAATGAAATATAAATGGCACGCGGCAGATTCTTATATGGATCACGTAGTTCCTCTGTCATGAAGTTCAAATAATTCCAGCCGGCATAAGAGAAAATGCCCGAGTAGAAAGCAACGGAGAGTTTACCGGGATCCGTTTGTGTATTTTCGAAGGGTTGTTCAAAGTTTTGCACGTGACCTACGTGAAAAATGCAGAAAAAAATAAATGATTATTGAAAACAAATTAATGAAAAATCATTCAACATACCAAAACACATCCACACAACGCCCACAATGATAATTAACACCAAAGCCGCTATTTTAGTGAACATAATTATATTTTGCATTTTTGTTGTAATTTTCATATAACATGAATTGAGGTACGTTAGGAAGCATATTGTTACGGCGGCTAGCAGTTGTAGGGCACCTTCGGGTATACTGCATTCGTTATCGAAAAAGGGCTGCAGTACGTAGGAAGCAAATGTGAGACCCATAATGGCATTTGTTGTTGGACTGTAATGAAGAGAAATAAAGAAAAAGAGAAAATTAATTAATCACTCAATATATATATATATATATATATTTAATTAAATGTTGAACGCATGACAAACTTAATGAGTAAATGCAGTGATTTATGTGACGGCAGATAAAGCATACTTTTAGGCGAAACTACATCTATTTGATTAACTGTCGATAACCGGGTGGCAGTAAAAAACGCAATCCACTTTATTAACGGAATTTACACATACATATGTATATGTATACATGCATACCAATACACACGAGGAAACAATTTATTCGCACCATTTATCAGTCATTTTAAATAATTTATTGTACAAATATCCGCATATTTAATTAAGGATTCATGATTATTTGTTCAGAAAAATCGTACACACATACATACATATTTATAGAATAAATAGTATCTGTTTCAAAAAAATAAATATTTCACATACATTTATATACATTCATATATAAATAGTCATGATTACACTTGATCACTATCTGGTAAACATTTCATAATGTGTATGTATGTGTGTACGAAATTATTCAATGCTTGTGTGAAATAAATAGAATGCCTCCTGTACTCATGTCCACAATTCATCGAAACCTCTATATTTTTATGTTTAAATGTATGTATATATATATATATGTAAAAGGCTTTGCCCTGAATGACTGACGGATCAAGCCACAGCCGAAACTATCGATCGTAGATTTCTGAAACTTGAAGGAAGTGTTCTGCGTATGATATTGTATATGCCCTCGATAAGAAAGGATTTTCCGTGAAGTGGACCTGAGAGCGATTTATTCGAAAAATCAAGTTTATTTTTAAATCAAATATTTTACAGCCAATACAAATGCAACAGTTGCACCGTCTTTAAAGACTAGTGGTTTCAATGATTCCAGACCAGACATTTTTCCGTAGTAGACGAGCTCCGAAAAGGTCAACCAAACGATTGACAAAGACACACGATTTTGACAAAAAATGGTTGCTAATGAATTGGGCTTAAGTGCCATGGTTGTATCGCGAATATGACGTAATCATCTTTGATACACGAAGAAATCTGTTCGTTGGGCACCACGAATTTTAAAAGAGGCCCAAAAAGAAACTTAAGTGAATTTTGCGCAAATTTTCTGAAACGAATTCGAAAGTGGCCAGTCTAGTGACTTTAATAAAGTCGTTACTGGTGACGTATCTTGGTTCTATAAGTAGGATCCAGAAACCAAACAGCAGTTCAGAGTACAGACCCAAACAGCAGCAAGCCCACCCGTAAAATCTAAGCAACACTTTTTAACAGCAAAAGTCATGATGTCAGTTTACTTCAACCCGTCTGAAATCGTAGTTGCTATTCCACTGGGTATGGGTCACACGGTAACTGGACAATGGTACACCGAAGAGTGTTTACCAAAAGTTTTCAAAAATTTGTCGGAACAGAGAAAGAAGGAGGATTCGCAACAACGCGCAATCTCGCACTGCTGAAGTAACCAGCAATTTTATTGCGATGTCTGGGATCGAAGAAATACGTCTAGCATCAAATTCGCCAGACTTAGCACCTGTGATTTCTGGTTATTTCCCGAAATTAAAAAAAAACTTAAAAAGAAAGGTTTTTTATAACAACGAAAAAATAATTAATGCAGTTAATGCTGAGCTTGATAATCTTAAAAGGAAAGATTTTAAAGACTGTTTTCAGAAATCGATATATAGGCTTAATAATTGCATTGAAACCAGTGGCGATTATGTAGAGAAGATAAAGAAAGAATGACAAAGATTACAAATAAATAAAACTTACTGAACTTTTGTTAACCCACTTGTATTTTTCTATCTATTCGAGATAAAAGATCATTGCGATATCAATTCATTGATAAAAATTAACAGAGACATATATATTTATTACAAATGACATACTTTCAAGTATCGAAGCATGGTTTGGACATAAATATATATATATATTTTTTTTGTAAGCTCCTTGTGAAATAAGCAAAATTTTTTTATCACATAATACGGTCGCATCGTTGGAAAGTGCCACCACACTGTTGAAGGAGTTACTGTATTGCTGGCAGGCGATTTCCGCCAGATTTTACCAGTAATGCTCTGCGGAATGCAAGCGAACAAAGTTAAAGTATGCGGGAAGTGATCTTCTCTTTGACCTTCAGAGAAAAAACTAAACCCCACCAAACATGAGTGAGGATATCTAACTGCCGGACAGCTTTCAGACCAGTTTCTGAAAATAGGAAATGGTGATTTCCCGGAACTAAATAACAGCTTTAGGAACAATCGTTTTGGCAGTGAAATAGGCTTAAATAGGCTTAAATAATATTGAATGAGTGCATAAGTTCGTGCCCGATTTCAAGTGCAAACTAAAATTGAAATTTTTTGAAGAAAGCGCTTTTATTAATCAATTATGTATTCGCCATCATGTTCGGCAATCCACTGCCAACGTTCAACCAATTTACGGATGCCTGATTCATAGAAATCGCGCGGTTTCTCGTTGAAAAAGGTGTCAAGGTGGTTTTTGACGTCTTCCACATTTTTAAATTTTTCTCCATTCAAATTGTTCTGCAGCGATCGAAACAAATGATAATCAGAAGGTACAATGTCGGGTGAATATGGGGGATGTGGCATGATTTCCCAATTCATCTCCTTCAGTTTGGCCAGGGTCGGTTTTGCAACATGTGGCCTGGCGTTGTCATGATGGAAAAGAACTCCTTTGCGATTGGCCAAAATCGGACATTTTTCATCAATTGCTTTCTTCAATGCGACCAATTGCTGACAATACTTGTTGGCAGTGATCGTTTCTCCAGCTGGCAAGAGCTCAAAATAGCTCACGCCTCGGATATCCCACCAAATGCACAGCTGTACCTTCATCGGATGCAATCCACCTTTCGACATTGGTTCCGCCCCTTCGTGTGCCTGTTTCCATGTTCTTTTGCGTTGAACATTGTTGTACAGGATCCATGTTTCATCACCAGTCACGAGCCGATCCAAAAAAGGTTCGTTTTTGATCCGTCGAAGCAAAGAAATTGCTGTTAACATACGGTCCACTTTGTTTTTTTCACTCAACTGATGTGGCACCCTTGTATCGAGCTTCAAAGTGTACCCAACCTCTTTTAAACAACGAAACGCAGTTAATTTGTTGACGTTCAATCCACTGGCAACCTCTTCCGTCGAAATACGTGAGTTACTCGCAACTAAAGTCCTTAGAACATCGTCATCAAGCTCAGAAGGCCGTCCACTGCGAGGTTGATCTTCGAGGTTAAAATCTCCAGAACGAAATTTCGCGAACCATTTCTTTACTGTGCGGAGTGCTGGAGCACGGTCCAAATAAACTTCGCGAAGATCTTTAGTTGCAGCGCCTACTGTTTTTCCTTTGCGGAATTCGTATAACATAATATGACGCATATGATCTTTTTCGTTGTCCATCTTCCATGCGTCTTTTCACTAAGCAACTCAAATCAAAATGAAATGAAGTTATTTTATGCTTGATTTACAGTTCGTACTGTCACCTTTCCAACGATATCACGAGCGCCACTCTCAAACGATTCGAACGGCATCCAGCGGAATCGGGCATGAACTTATGCACTCATCAATATAATATTCACAATAAGCCCGTAGAATGATTATACTTGCGTGCCATATTAGCACGAAAAATAAGCTAGCTTTAATCCCAACTGAAAGACTTGAAATCATTCCAAGATGTCGAATATCGGTATAAATGCGTCAACTCAGCAAAATACCCCGACGATGCCATTCATTACTAGAGAGAGGTCCTGAAGCCCCGGTCTCCCTACTCACAAATTAATTTAATGTTACTGCGCTATTACAAACCACCAAAATTGTACAAGGGACCCAGGCGGCAGATAAAACTATTGCATCGAAATGTAATCATGGCTACTCTACTAAGAGGTTGTTTTAAAGTACAAACTGAAAAAGTACAAAAAAAAATCTGCTTCTTCCATTACGAATTATAGGTAGTATGCTCCAAAGTATGCTTAAAAAAATGGCCGTGTGAATATAGCATCCGACGAAAAAACATAAGTTATTGTCATAAAAGTCATTCTTCCAAAGTTACCGACCGATTAGGTTGAAATTTTGACAAATTCCTTCTATGGTTTATACGAAACAAATTTTTCGAGAAGTTGACCAGGGGCTGGCCTATTCGAAAAAAATCTTATTTATGGCTCGGTTTACTTGAAATTCGATTCATTTGGAGAAAAAATAACTCTTCTCTCCGGGAAGTGGATCAGTGACCGAATCATTTGAAGAAAACGTATTTTTGATGCCATTCAAATGAAATTCTGTACATTGAAGGTTTTTTGCAAAAAAAAACAATCATATCAGGTGTACAACTTTGCTTCCGCCGTTTTCCGATAGGTGGCTGTGCCGGCTGAGGCTAGTTGAAATACATAGATGATAATTCCTTTGAAGTGAGTGTGGACAGTGCCTAACGATTTGTCATCGCCGTTTCAGTAACAGTTGTTCTTGTTTTCGTATTATTGTGATTTGTATTTGGTGGGATCAGCTCGGTGTGATTTACTACGAGCTCTTAAAACCGGATGAAACCATCACAGGAGATCGCTACCGAACGCAACTGATGCGCCTTAGTCGCGCGCTAAAAGAAAAGCTGCCACAATATCAAGAGCGACATGACAAAGTCATCCTCCAACACGACAATGCTCGGCCTCACGTCGCAAAAGTGGTCAAAAAGTACCTGGAAACGCTGGAATGGGAAGTTTTGCCCCGCCCGCCGTATTCCCCAGATGTCGCCCCTTCTGACTTAAACCTACTTCGTTCGATGGCACAAGGCGTGGCAGATCAACATTTTCAATCCTTCGAAGAATTGGAAAAATGGATTGCTTCATGGATAGCGTCAAAAGAGGACTCCTTTTTTCGAGACGGGATCCGAAAATTGCCGGAAAGATGCATATCATTCTTCGATCAACGCCAACGGAAGCGGGCATGCATGTCGTCAGAAGTATCAAAAAATGAAAAGTTCGCGCAACAGGCGGTTACAAAAACAACAACAACAACATCGCTTGCTTAAAATCTCAATATACTATATAAGAAATACATAAAAAACCTTTTTCCACGCTAGGGACTGGAAATGAGAAACTGCAAAGTGGCAATTGATCAGACTGTAAATTAGTGGCGTCAAAAGAAGAATTGCTTCGCAGAGTATTCCCAAATCCTGTCCTCGTTGCAACAAACTAAGACGTCAACGATCTCAATCATACTATTTAGTCCATCATTGCACGCGAATGCGTCACACAAAAGACAATAGGCACCGTTGTAGAAGAAGATGAGGCAGTGAATTATTCAAAAGAATTTTTGAATTCTTCGGACGCAGAAAATCGGTGTGTTCATTATAATGCTACGTAACAATTATCAGCCGTAACTCTACGTACTGCATAGGCACACGACTGGCAATCGAAGAATTACAGATTGACGTAATAGATGCAACAACTCTGCCCGGACCTTTTAAAAGGGGTGATATCTTTATACCTCGAATCCCTATCATTCCGACTACAGTTCCCTCTTCCACTAGTGTTTGCAGCCAATATCAACAAAGTTCAGTGTCAATCTATGGAATCATTTGGCCTACCCTTTCCCACATGAACAATTGTAATTTGCATGTTCTGGGTTTGGCAAGCCAGATCTTTTTAGGTGGTATAACCAAAGAGGTTGTATAGCCAAAAATATTGAATAAAGCTATGATGAAAAGATATAATATATTTCATTTTTCATAGAGTACATCGCATCGCACGGAAAACCTAAGATTTATTGTTGAAAAGCCTCAACATCTTCAACGTGTAACTGTTTGGTGCGATTTGTGGCCACCTAGATCTTGTGTTTTAACAACTTGCGATTTTCTTCTAAGGTTGCTACGTGAAAGATAAGGTCTACGCCAACAGGCCAACGTCGACTGAAGAGATCTCAAAGGTGGAACACGTTAAGTTATTGAGGGCATTGATATTGCTTTCCATTAATAATGGCTTATCTTCATCTTTGCATTGAAATATATGTACATCCGATCATTTGCCTTAAAAGATACCATTTTACTTTGAATATCAAAATATCAACTCCTATTGGAAAACCCTGTATTCGCACTTAAAGCATCTAATCAAAACTTACTCTAAAGTATGTAAACGTAATACTACGGTCTGATTCATATCATCCAGAAATTAGCACCTAAAAGTTACCAACAGCCATTTCTTGGTAACTATTAGTGACTAACACATCACACCTTCTATATGTTTATTTATACATACATATATGTATTCACAACTTTACGAGTACAATGAACCAAGGCTTTAAAATAACAACACAAGTTTTTTTACAAATTTACAACTAGTGCTCTTACTATTGTTAATATTATTTATAGATATAAAAATGTATGCCAAAAAAGCGTAAATTAACCATAATTTATTTGGTCACTTTCATTATCTGCAATTAAAAACAAAATTCATCAAATGATATTCGTATATATGTACATACAAACAGGGGTGGCACACTAATTAGCCCACCCTACCATATTCCAATAATGCTGCTTGAAAATTAAATACACGGTGTGTCCTAAAAATAACCGAACTTTATATTTAAATCATACAACATACGGCGCCATCTATTGAAAATTTGCAACATTAAAAAGATACATTCATCCTCTTTCAAACGCACCGAACATCATGTAAGTCGGATGACAGATGTAAAAGTGAAAACCATTTCAATAAAACCAAAAGTGTGCGAATGGTTCAAAAACAAAATTTAACAAAGAGCAAATGTAAAATTTTGTGTCAAACTTGAAAAAAAATTAATGAAAAAAGTTTATTGTGATGATTGTATGAGTCGTAAGCAAGTTTATACGCTGTTTACACGATTTAAAAATGGTCGTGAGGATTCAAATGACGACCCTAGAGCAGAACGTACAGAAACTAGTAATCGTGCTGAACTGGTAAAAAAAATTCCGTGAAATCATTGGTATCGATGCGAATTTTACTACGAGAATGTTGGCTGAGGAATTGAATACGAGTAAAAACACTATTTGGAGAATTCTAACTGAAGATTTGGGGAAAAGAAGGGTCTGTGCGCGATTTGTTCCACATGAATTAAATGACGACCAAAAAATCGCTCGAATTTTTAATGAAAAAAGGGATTTCTCTCATCGACCATCCTCCATATTCGCCTGATCTATCACCATGTGACTATTTTTTATTTCCAAAACTGAAAACCAAGATGAAGGAAGCATTTTATGATGATATCCCAGCCATTCAAGCAGCCGTAACCGAGGTACTAAAGAACATTTCTATAAGGGACATAAAAAAATCTAAGCATGCGCTGGTTGATCGTTCGAAACGTTGTGTTGAGTCAAATGGAACCTATTTTGAATAAATAATAACTTTTAACGATAATATAATTTGTATTTTATTTTATATCCAAAAAGTTCAGTTATTTTTGGGACACACCGTGTACGAAGGTGTTTTTGGAAAGTTCTGTTTTTTTATATTATAAATGTTGATTTTTTTTTTGCCATTAGAAACGCATTTCTCAAAATTTTTGGGTAGTCTTCAATGAAATGTCCCTTTATTTCATAATGGCCTTTGATTTGAACTGGCATTTTAATTAGCGCACCCTGTAAATAAAAGCTGCAAGAGTTCCACTGCATAATATGGAACATGTTCCAGGACGGAAACAAATATTATTGAAATCGCCTATTGCTTCAGAAGTCCTCTGAAACAAATTCGAAATGCGCTCAGGTATTATCGAAGGAAAAAAACATTTTTAAATAAAAGGGAGCTAGACACAGAAAGACCGAATAAAGAGAAGATTTTCTTATTGTTCGGCAGGCGCTTTAAGATCCTTTTGCATCTTCCTGCAAGAGGCGTAAACATTGCCAGCAGGACAGCGGCTGTTCGAACACGACAGCGGCAGTTTAAAAAAAAAGCCAAAAATTTCAAACAATAATCGAAATGAGCGATTGAATTTTTCAGATTACATAAGAATTCTCTCTCCTTACTACTGAATTCCAGAAGAGTTTGGAACGACGAATATAAATTCAACTTTCACGGGTCTGATGGAAAAACTTATGTGCGAAGCACAACAAATTGAAGAATTGGATCAGTAGAATTCTAGGAAAACAGCTAATTTCTGTGGAGGAAGTGTTATGGCTTAGGATTGTTTTACGAAGCATGGTGTTGGTCCTATGATGCAGATAACGGATAAGCTAGATTCTGTAGCAAACCAGAACTTACTTGAATATTATATTCCATGGTTTTTGAAAACCTTACCGTAATATATATATATACCAAAGCAGTTTTTCAACAGCACAATGTAATTTAGTGGCTTCAAAAATAGGGAATTCGATTGCTGAATTTGCCTGCCCAGAACTTCTATGATGTTTTTTTTTCATTATTGATTTGTTTCCCTTCAATATTATTTAATAAAAGTTTTTGCACATATTTCAATTCATTTTCAAAATTTTCTTTATTTTTTTTTAATTTCCTGATAATTTTAGTCTACATGAAAGGGTGTGCTTATTAGTGTGCCACGCCTGTATGTACATATATACATATTTCCTATTATATTTATTCAATGTATGTATATTTGTAATGTCCATGGAAATTTTCAAGCTATAAATATTAACAACGATAAAGCGTAAATTCAATAAATTTTCACAAGTAAATGTTTCAAATATATTGTATAATATGTAGATATGCATTTAGTGGTCATAATTTTCCATATGACAAAATTTTTTTGATTTGGAAATACATATGTACATCTGTGTGTAGGTATAAAGTGTTGAAAAACTAGAAGCCATTTGACCACAGACAAATAATCAATCAGTAAAATTAATTATCATTGCATTTGTCCATTGATAAACGTATGTATGAACATATGAATATACATATTTATACGTAGATGTAGTACACATACATATATGTACATATGTACATGTATATGTGCAATGAAAACATATAATAACTAGTACTTTCACATATCAGTCATTACTTTTGTGTCCTAAATTAGAAGGAAATAGTGGTCTTGAAATGAACATTCTCAGTTTTTATATATGCACATGCAAACATACAAATATGTAAATTCAAATATATATATATACAATAGATATGTGTGTCATATGCTTATCACAATAGAATAACTTCTTAATGTTATCACTCGAAACCGAAGCAATATTTTTGTTTAACTTTATTTGATAAATAAATTATCACATACAAATGTATGTATGTACATGCTCGTACAAAGCAAACAGAATTAATTAAATATTTGCATTTAAAATCCAAAGTGCATATGAGAATTTCATTTAAGACCACATTGGCAAATTAATATAAGCTAATAATAGCACAAAATTGAGAAATGAAATTGATTTGAATATATGTATGTATGTATGTATATAGCAAAAACGTATACTGCAATTGCATTACATACATATTTACAGATACGAGTAAAAAGAATTTTACTCACAGATAACCCGTTAACTACCGTTCAATTAAAACCGATTTACGGCAATATTTTGTTGTAAGGGCTAATAACTACAGATCAGCAGAAATAACAATAAACACTACAAACAAATATAAATGCATGTATATACGTACCAACTATAAAAAAAAAAAATTCACTTAGATATGATAAATTGAATGGGCGCGTGCGAACGGTGACGTTAAAGCGCCAATTCACAATTTTATATTCAGCTAAGTAGCCGAAGACAAAGAAGCAAAGCATGTAAATTATAGCGATAATATTATTGTCACAATGCTATGTATTATTAGCGTATGAATATTTCCAGAAATATTATATATTGCATACATACACACATCCACACACACACACACACAACTGCAATAAACTATCAAAATTCATTTCCACTTGCACTTTGTGGTCACGAAGGTAATTTAAATAGTTTGTAGACTTACACAAAGATCATCATAGCATCCCAGAGATATAGAAATGCGGGTAGTGAACCATATGCTTCTAGTATATATGCATAATCTCCACCTGACTTTGGTATCGCAGTACCTAATTCAGCATAACAAAGCGCGCCAATCATCGATAGCAAACCGCATAATATCCAAATGATTAGAGATGTTCCAACCGCTTCCACTTCACGTATCACACCTTTTGGTGATATGAAAATGCCAGAACCAAATATGATACCCAATATGATAGCAACACCTTCGAGTAAGCCTAATTGTTTTTTCATACGCACAGCACTGTTATTCGATTCTGTAGATCCCTCCCGCTGACCACCCACAGCGCCGTTGCTAACTGTCGCAACGTTGCTGCTGTCTATTGGCACAGTTGGCGCTGTTTCACTAGCTGGTGTTAAGAGCACCATTTCGCTAGTGGGTGATTGTAAGTCGTTAGAAGCTCGCATTCTATAGAACTTTATCAGATATAATAGAACTCTAGCTTTTTTAGCTCCTCAGACGCTTGTGTTTGGTTCAGTTGTCGCGTTTAGACTGAGTACGCTCATCCACTTCAATATTCACTGCCAGCTAGAGTTTTTCTAATTTCAAACGTGTAATTGAATTTATTTCGTTTTTCCTATTATGCGTTTTGTTTTCGCACGACGTTGACCAAAGTGGATAGGGCAATAATGCCGGGTGGTTTTTTTGAATTTTGTTTTGCTACGCCAATTCAATGTACTTATTGTATTGTATATTATTTTCTGCCCTATATTGGCGCTCCTCTATTATTCAACCCACCACCACTTTTAATGCCAAGGGTAAGGGGCTGTAATCGTCGACCATTGACACAATTTCGGCAGCGAACAACCACTAGTTGTATGAGTTTTTAGGTTATACATATGCAGTAGTTTTCATATTCACCAAATGTTTTTCTCAATTGAATCACAGAAAATTGATTATATTTTATAAAATATTTCAAACACTTTCTTTTACTAATTTCCATTCAATTTTTATTTATTTGATTTGAAGGCTTTAGATTTGCTTTTCCGTAAAAGTATTCAATTATAATTTAATAACACGCGAATATAAGGGCATATGACTTCTGTCATACGGAAAATGGCAATACGGAAAGTGAAAAGCGAGATGAATGTGGGTCAGGGTGGAAAAGTGTGTTGCGGATGTGATGAAAGGAAAAGTGTGCAGTGTTGGAAAACGAACAAAGGTACGGGGATGACCAAATTAGATTAGATGAAATTTTCATTATGGAAACGGAAGTAATACGGATATGCGTTGCATTTTGCACATTTTTTACTACGTTTATTAGTGTTTTGTAGGTAAATTTCATTGTTCTAAGGCATACTTTTGGGATGAAATGCTTTTCACTTCCGATATGATTGTAAACGCGTACTCGTATTAAAAAATGGAGAAATTGATCTAATTCAAAATCACTTTTATTTGTTAATGACATATTTCTACCATTATAAAGAAGCTACGTTTAGTTTTCTAATTACACAAAGCTATATTTATGTTATTTTATTTCTTCTCCTTAGCGTGTAACTTGGAGTTAATCATATCTTTGAATTGTGACAAAATTTTATTTTCACGCTTTTGTCGCTCCTCTTTACTAAACATAGCCAAAGCACGCTTTTCATCTGCTGAATAGATTTGATTTTCCTTACGTATACGTACGGCTTCCATACGACGATGTCTAAAAAGGAAATGGAAAACGATTTTTTTTAAGTATTGTAAATTCATACCAAATTATATTTTTAGTAATTCGTTTTACTCACCTACTACCGCTCATTACATAACCAACGGATTCGAAGTTAGCAATCTCCTCGGAAGTCAGACCGATTTCACCTCTCCGTGGTATACGTTTTCCTTCTGCTATGTATGCTGCCATGGCCGCACCTTCACCAGGTAACAGCGCTCGTCCGAAATCTTTTTGACTTAAGCCGCTAGTTTGCCGCAAGGTTGGCCCAAACTCTTCACCACCAACGTTAAGTTCTTTTGAAGTTCCGGGCCTACTTCCGTTAGATTTGTAAGCTTCCTTTCTGGAACGTTTTTTATTTTTCTTATGCTTTTTTGTTTTCTTGGTTTTCGTTTTCTTTTTAACGGGTTTAACACCATCAACAGTCTTTTCCAACCAAGTCCCTGTATCTTCGTTTTCAGAATCTGAAGATATGTCACTATCTGAACTGTCGCTGCTCGAGCTTTCTTCGGATGAAGAGGACGAACTCGAACTTGATATATCACTAGAGCTGGATGTTTTTTTCTTTTTGCTGTGTTTAGTTTTTGATTTTTTCTTACTGCTGCTCTTGTGCTTTTTTGATTTTTTCGATTTTTTCTTTTTACTCTTACTCTTCTTCTTTTTCGGCTTTTTGTACGTGCCATCTAGAATTTTTACATCTGGATCATCCTGATCATCATCTGAAAAAACATCGGCATGCGCAGGACTCTTACTCCACACATCAGCAGTGCCTTCTATGCCGATTAACTCACGTTGTTCCCGACGCGCGTCCAAGTAATTTGAGGACTTTTTCTGCTGGTGGTTATTTTCATTTGCTCTTCCACGAAAAGGATTATTTTGTCGACCACCATAATTATTTTCATAAAACTTATCGTTTGGCCAACGCTCCACAACTTCTTTATCATGAGTGGCGGTAGTGCGACTTTTACTACTGCTTCTCGAACGTCGATGAGATTGATTGCGTCGATTTTCTCTAGAATTTCTACGGACCCTTGATATGGATGGTGATCTTGATGTTGAAGAAGACTTAGTTCTCGCCCGTGAGCTCCTTCGACGATGTTGATCTCGTGCTCTGTGGCTTGCTACATTACGATCACGAGAGTTATGTCTACGACTTTCTGGAGAACGACGACGACTACGAGAACGCGTTCGAGAACGTGAACGCATGGTTAACGTTTACTGTGATTGAAAATACCAAAATTATGTATTTATTTAGTCCAAAAATACGCTTTATTGAAACTTCTCTAATTTTTTCTGAGGATGCGAAAGATGTACACAAGAAAACGTCAAAACCAGTGTGGCAGAGTTGTATTCCCTAGGCCGTCATATTTTTAGTAGTGGGATAATTTAGGACTTAAAAACTTATTGGCAATTCGATATAATTTTTAATCATCTCAAACTAATGGTTAAACATCAAAGCGATTTACTATTTTGAGTATAAAATGTTGTAAAACGGCCACAGAAACTTTAAAAAACTGTAATTTAATACAGTTTTTTTCTTAACATAAACTAAATGTTATTTTTGAGATACAACTCTGTGTTCTTTCCTTGATTACTCAAATACTCATTTTCGTTGACAGTTATCGGTGGATGTGACGTGTAAATTTTTCTACAGAAAATTTTTGGGAATTTGGAAAATAAGTAACTTGCGAATTTTTAATATTAAATTATCTACCAACTCCTCAAAACTAATAAACATGGGTTCCTTCCGTCGTGACAAAGATGACGAAGATGAAGGTGAGATAAGTCTTATAGCTTATATAGCGGGTCTAAAATAAACTTGCCATCGCCGCATATCGATTCATTTAATCATGTTTTTTTTATAGAGTTCGTAATGGTTGCTGGAATATTAATAAAGAAAATAAAATGTAATTACAATAATTTGATTGGATCTACCTACATAAATTTTTGAATTTAATATCCTCATTAGGCCAAACCCCATCCACCTTTATACCGTTTGTGCATATTTATGCATGTATATGTACATATGTGCCCTTATGCATACTTACTTTTATAGAAAAAAACTTAACATTATAATTCGATATATATATTTAAAGGTACCACCAACATCTATCAACATTTGGAAAAGACATCCGTTTTGCAAGAGACACGGACATTCAATGACACACCTGTTAACCCAAGGAAATGCATTCAAATTCTTACCAAAATCCTATACCTCATCAATCAGGGTGAACAGTTGGTTGCACGTGAAGCCACGGATTGTTTCTTTGCAATGACTAAATTGTTTCAATCTAAAGATGTTGTATTGCGTCGCATGGTGTATTTGGGAATAAAAGAGCTGAGCTCTATTGCCGAAGATGTTATTATTGTAACTAGCTCTTTGACCAAAGATATGACCGGTAAGGAAGATCTTTATCGACCATCAGCTATACGCGCACTTTGTAGCATTACCGACAATACAATGCTCCAAGCAGTCGAACGTTATATGAAGCAATGCATTGTCGATAAGAATCCAGCAGTGTCTTGTGCCGCACTTGTGAGCTCATTGCGTTTAGCCAGCACTGCCGGCGATGTGGTAAAACGTTGGGCTAACGAGGCACAAGAAGCTCTAAACAGTGATAATATAATGGTGCAATATCATGCCCTGGGCTTACTCTACCATATTCGTAAATCAGATCGCTTGGCTGTATCTAAATTGGTAAATAAGCTAACACGTAATTCTATGAAGAGTCCATATGCAGTATGCATGTTGGTAAGCTATAAAAATGAAATCATTTTAAAAGATTCACAATTATTTATCTATTATCAAATTTCACAGATACGTATTGCTTGTAAGCTAATTGAAGAAGAGGATACCTCTGCTGAGGATATGCCAACATCACCAATGTTCACTTTCATCGAATCATGTTTGCGTCATAAAAGTGAAATGGTCATTTATGAAGCAGCGCATGCGATTGTTAATCTAAAGAACACAAATGCACGAGTGCTATCGCCAGCATTCTCCATTTTGCAACTTTTCTGCAGCTCACCAAAAGCCACTTTGCGTTTTGCAGCTGTACGCACACTGAATAAAGTTGCGTTGATTCACACTGCTGCAGTGACAACATGTAATTTAGATCTAGAGGGTCTCATAACCGATTCCAATCGTTCTGTCGCAACATTGGCTATAACAACTTTATTAAAAACTGGTGCAGAATCGTCTGTGGAGCGTTTAATGAAGCAGATTTCTACCTTTGTTGCAGAAATTTCCGATGAGTTCAAAGTAGTTGTCGTACAAGCAATTTGTGCGCTTTGTTCCAAATATCCGCGTAAGCATACTGTTCTGATGAATTTCCTCAGCGGTATGTTACGCGAAGAAGGTGGCTTGGAATACAAAACATCAATAGTTGACACCATTATCACGATAATTGAAGAAAATGCTGAAGCAAAAGAATCTGGTCTCTCACACCTTTGCGAATTTATCGAAGATTGTGAGCATGTATCATTGGCAGTTCGTATTTTGCACTTGCTTGGCAAAGAAGGACCATTCGCAAATACCCCATCAAAATATATACGTTTCATTTATAATCGCGTTATTCTGGAAAGCCCTATTGTACGCGCTGCAGCCGTTACAGCGCTGTCACAATTCGGCGCATCTTGCCCTGCACTCATGGATAACATTCTCGTACTACTGAGTCGTTGTCAAATGGATCCCGACGACGAAGTACGCGATCGTGCTACTTACTACTTGCACCTTTTACAATCCAACAAGGCCGATCTGTATAAACATTACATTATTGAGCGGGAAACATGTTCATTAACTTTGTTGGAAAAGGCGTTGACGGAACATTTGAATGGCGACTTGACCACCAGCTTTGACTTGTCCATTGTACCGAAAACCGCTATTGTCAAAGAAGAAGTGCCCAACGAAGCTATGCTTATTTCTAATGGTATGTTCATTTTTTTTTATTTACTGATAAAAAAATATTAATTGGTTTATTACTACTATTCTTCTGCAGCACCGCGTGCACCGAAAATCACACGCGAGGAAGAAAGTGCCGCACGTTTGTCTCAATTGCCGGGTGTACAAGTTTTGGGTCCCATTCATCGCACAACCCCGTCCATACAGCTTACCGAAAGTGAAACCGAATACACAGTACAGTGCATTAAACATATATTTGCCAATCACGTCGTATTTCAGGTAAGTTCCTAACACTTGTCACCGAATCTCTGGCCAATTGTCCTAATTTAATTTTAGTTCGATTGTCTCAACACATTGCCGGATCAAATATTGGAAAATGTTCGCGTCGAGTTAACCTTACCCGAAGGATTTAGAACCTTGGCAGTTATACCATGTCCGAAATTGCCTTACAATGATTTGCAAATGACATACGTTATTGTTGAATTCCCAGGAGATATTGTGAGCTCGGCAGGTATATATTTAAAAATAAAATAGATTTAATATAATACCACGCATGCATATAAAAATTCAATTTATATATATCTTAGCAACATTTGGTGCCACATTGCGATTTGTGGTAAAGGACTGCGATCCAAATACGGGAGAACCTGATTCTGATAATGGCTATGAAGAGGAGTACATGTTGGAAGATTTAGACATCACAGTTGCGGATCAAATTCAAAAGTCGAAAAAGAGCAATTTCCAAGCTGCTTGGGATAGCGCAGATACTGAAGGTGCTTACTTCAAAATAATAAATTGTATAATATTATAAATTATTAATTATTGCAAAAACAAAACTTTCAACAGAGTGGATTGAAGCTGAAGATACATATTCGCTAGCTGCCATCACTACATTGCAGAATGCGGTTAGTTTGATTTTAAAATTCCTTGGTCTGGGTCCTGCCAATTTGTCCGAGAAAGTGCCAGAGGGCACGCATACGCATACGCTACTTTGTTCTGGTGAGTATACTATATAAAATAAAAATTTAATTCTAAAATTAATTTAATGTTAAATGTAAATTTAATGTAAAACAAAAAAAAATTTCTTTCATAGGCACATTTAGAGGTGGCGTGGAAGTTTTGGTGCGCGCAAAATTAGCACTAGCCGATGGTGTAACAATGCAATTAACCGTGCGCTCTACAGATTCAGGTGTTGCTGAACTTGTGTCATCCGCCATTGGATAGGATACGCCTTGTTAGCAGGCCTAGAGAATCTTAATATGATTAGATATATTATCGTTATGTTGGTTAAGATTAAAATGAGAATATTGCTAATGCCATTTGGAGAATACTGAAATGTAATAATAACCGCACACAAAGTGTGAATTGTGGATTTGCTACCGACGATTAACATTTAAAAAAAAAAACAATTCCAATTGTTGGCACCCGAATATAGAAACAATGAACTGCTAAACGTATGGGCAAAAATTAATTTGAGAAAAAGAAATGTGTATGATGCAAAAATGCATTTTATTATTTCATGTTTTACGAAAATAAAATCACAAATAACTTCATATAAAACGTACAATACAAAAATATAATGGCTGCAGTTTGTATAATTAAGTTTGCAGTTTTTCAACATAAAAACACAAAATCGAGTTAAATATTATTTCTGCGTAAGACCCATTTTGCAATATGTTTTTATTTTATTAAATTTTTCATTCATTTCAAATGTATGTAATTACTAAAAGCAATTTTATTCCATATTTTGTAAATTGAAAAATATATTTAATCTACCTAAGTTTTGACATTTTGTTACATATATAAGTATGTTACACACTAAATGCAATTGAAATAAACAGTGACATTAGTGTTTTACTTGTATTACTATATATATGCGAATTAAATATCAATAAATAAAATAAATTTCCAATAAACGCAAATGAAACAGATTCTTCATTCAAAATATGATAGCTTTATTTAAAAAAGAAATGTATATTGTATTTAAAATATGTTCTTGCTAATCAATGGGTAAAGGAAATTAATTTATTTTTACCTCTCTGCATTAATTAACAAATGTGTTAATTAAAATTTAAAATTTGTCGACATTTTAACATATTTTGGGTGCCTTAATTGCACTCTTCACGTCATTGACCGTGAATAGCGCACACAAAGCTTTCTTATAATTCTACAGCTTCTACGTATTTAACTTAAAATAGCCTCGTTATGTTCTTTTGCACCTTTAAACGTCACGCAATAACAAATGAAAGTGCCGCTAATGCTGTCAGTTTGTCTGTGAAAATTGCAACAATTTGTGATTTATTTTTAAAATTTATAAATCAAAACTTATAAACATATGTAGATATGTGTATGTATGTTTGTGTATATATAAGCACCTATCTCACGTTTTATGAGTGGCAGCGGAACGCTGTGGCGGATTTTGAGCAATGATTAGCACATGTGTTGGTATATGTACATATAAAATAAAATACCCGCTTGCTTCTAAATTAAAAATTTATGCTGATTGAATTTTTTGGCGGAAATCCAATGCTCGCGCAGGAAACTAGGAGAGCAGCATGATGACTAATTCATTACATTTAATAGGAAAAAAAAAAAACTTTAAATTAAATGCATTTATATTACACATATGCAATGGTAAACAGAATTATGGTACATGTAAATATGTATGTATGTATGTATATAGTCATATGTTTGTCTTAAAAGGAAAGCTCTTACAAACAAGAACTCTCAATTCATTTAGACATTTTCCCTTGCCACAGCACCATCTGGATATTCATACACGTACACTAAAGCATACATACATACGTTGTTCAAGTGGTCCAAGACAACAAGACATACTGAGACTCACTTGCGCTCTCACAACTATACACTTCACTAGCATCTTTCTAAATTGAAAAACTTTTCATAATGAATGTACTACATTGAAAATGATTTTCAAAATATGGCATCAGTGCGAGCGAGTTACTCTGGCGAAAACCACACATAATAACCGAAAATCCTATAATTTTTTTTGTTTTGTAATTAATTAATGAAAAGTAAAAGTTCAACATTTAAATTTAATTTGAACATAAAATTGTATTATTCAAAAAAAAATGCTTATAATTTAGCAAAAGTGAAAAATTTCTAGTGAACTCAAGTGCAAAAGAACTACATACGTTTATATGTATATAAATGTATATGTTTAATTTGTTGAAAAAATACAAATAGAACATTGAAAGAACAAAAGTCAAAAATAATACACGTATACAAATCTCCAAACGGCTCACTCGTGCGGTTAATATGTTTCGTGTCTCGCAGGAGATTCGGTTGAATACAAGCAGCAACGCTGAAGTGACACGCTACTCCAATACCACGAACGCCGATAGTGAAAATGATTGTATTTTTGGAAAATACCAAAGAACCCCAGACGCGGGTGAGACCATTGTTGCATGCATAGATACATACATACATTTGTTTCGAAACGAAAAGCTTACACATTTTCATTTCCTCCATTAAATCTGTATTATGTATACAAATGTATACAGTGTTTGCTGATAATTGTTTATTGACGCATTTGAGAGCATACAATTTGGTACTTTGAATAAAAGGTCAAAGTTATTTTTTTATATAATTTTTTTATATTTCTTTTGTAAAAATTTTTTATATTTCTTTTGTATAATTTTCTTATACTAATTATTTATAATATTTTTTATACTATTTTTTTATACTATTTTTTATATTATTTATTTTATATTTTTTTTATAATATTTTTATTTTTATTTATTTATTTTTAATTATTTTAAATTTTTTTATGAAGGTAAACAGTATTTTACGTAGCAATAGAGGAAATTAAACTCAAGATGTGCATACTAAAATTTTCACTTGATGCTCTCAAATCTTTGATCTCTAGATGACACGTCTCCGATCTACGGGAAGTCATAGTAATCTTTCCAGTTATTCTAGGCAGCAAGCGAATTTTAATACACTCTTTGCGGCCAAGAAAGAAAAGAAAAAGAAACAATTTTATTTATGGCGATGATTTACTCATTTTTGGGTGGTTTTGGATACCTCGGTTCACTATATATCTAGCCAGTAGTAGTAGCTACTTTTCAGTTAAGCTTACTTAACCTTTTCTTAGCTCAAATGAATTTTTACTCTCGCTGTTATAAACTTAAATACTGCTGTTTCCTAACCCATTGAACTGCACAAAAGAGATTTAGGAAGAATCCTGAATTTGTAGAAAAATTAATGATGATTTAAATATTAAGAAGGCTTAGCTGAAAGCATCTAAATTAGTCTATCGTAACTAACGGTTTACCATCCAATATGAGGAGTTTCTTTAGTTGGAATGAAAACCTTTGTATCAAATCCGAATCGGAAAAAACGGCCTCCTTCTATCTTCAGCAGTTACTACACCTGCCATTATTACGTTGCCATCTGTTACTCACCCACTATATTGAAAGTAAAGACATGTAAAGGCACTTCTGTTATTGATTGAAATAGAGTTAACTCTAAACTTAGCCGAAACGTTGCGAACGTTAGCAATTTGCGCTTGTAATGATCTGGAAATTGAGCAGACTCTCGATTACGGGTGTTTAGATGCTTTAAATGGAATTGCTGCTTTGAAGTTGTCTTAAAATCGCACCTTGGATGGGTTTTCTTCTTCTTCTTCTTTACTGGCGTAGACTCTAAAACTATGTTTATGTTGCCGTATTCGCCGTTCCCAACTCGACCATCCCTACGCATCAAATTTGTAGAGTTTGGTTTTCGTTCGCCGATAGAGGACTTTACTGTTCAATTGCCTACTCAGTCCAATGTAGCACCTGTTGGCAAGAGTGATTCTTCGTATGTACTAAAAAGTCTAGTTCGTCTATATTCGTTCCCTCTAAATACAGTTTTAATATTTTTTTTATCGTCTGGCGTTTTCATTATTCGTTGGAAAATTGCTTCTATCCATCCATTAATTAAGTCTAGTAACCAAAATGATTGAAGAAATTATATTCTTCTATCAAAATTAGCGACTTGTTCAAAACTACTTGAGAAATTAGTCAACATTAAATTATTTTTCCCTTTTAAGGGCCCATACCGGCTTGGTTTTGTTAGCGGTCACTCTACTATCACAAACCTAGCCTGTCTTTCTCGTTAATGCATTGCAGCTTTTAAATGGTATCCCTTTACCAAGGCGATGTCTAGTATACCGATTTTCCAAAGCCTTCGATACTGTCCCGCATAGCATTTTATTAGAGCTCCTTTGTTAGAGCATATCTCCCCAATTGATTATATTTGTTCAAATAGAAAAAAAATAGAAAATAGAAAATACGGGCTTTGAGACCACTTCTGGGGTGCCCCATGCTACCTTGGCCCTTTATTGTTTCTTCTTTTTATAAATGACATTGGAACTCACTTTAAATATTCGAACTTTCTGCTTTATGTAGGCGATTTAATACCCATTTATATGCATTAGTTGTATTTACAGGAGGATCTTTATAATTTAGCTCATTTTGCATTAGGGCTAATTTGTTTCTGTATACCAAAATATTTTTTACATAACCTTCTTAAAGTGCCAAATGTGCTCAGGTCCTTGATATTATTATCGTGGATCACATCAACTGTATTAATAATAAAGCTTAATTCAATTTTCTTGCTTTCTTACGGCGATGATGATTTCGGAGATCACTATATACAATACATAAAATTCTCCTTAAATATAGTACTTAGAAAGTTGGAAAGTTGAAGCCGATGTGCTATATGCTTATATATTTACATAGTTATAATTGAGGCTTTGTAACCGCTGAAGCGATTTTCCGGCGAGCTCCTCCTGCTCCAATTTGCGTCTTGATGTTTTCCCAATAAATGGAGGAACCTACAGATTATACTAAACCGCCTCCGAATGGCTGATGGTTAATGGTTTATGAGAAGCTTTATTTCATGTCAGAAATACACTTGGAGGGGTTGATATACCGTGCCGAGGGGCGACCGCAATAAGAAAACTTAACTTAATTTTTTATTTAAATCAATTTTCCATAACTTTTGGATGTTGGTCGAACAGTCACTACAATTTATTTATGTTCCTCATAGAACTTTGCACTCTTGCTATGGGCTTTATTTAGAAGTAATTAAAGGGTATTATTTTAACTACGATCCCATTATTAGTGCACTCCTTGGAGTGATCCTAATAGGATCTCAAGAAAAAAGCTCTGATCTGGTTTTCGCATTCCCGAAATCTCGTCTTAACTTTCTTCTACAATAAATAGTTTTAATTATTGAAATTGTTTTAATCACTATCTTGTATATCTTGCCCGTATGGTTTATAAAATTATATGCTCAAAATTAAATAAAATGAAAGTGAAAAATGTAAAAACAATAAAAATATGCAAGCTCAAAGTAAATTATAAAAAATGTTCGGTTAGAACACCAATATAAACGCTGTTTTCCACATTACCGTTCAGGAAATTTGACGAGCTAAAAATGCTTTTATTCAGCCTCTTCTACTTCTTCTTCGCGGCTATTCGTGTAGACATTACTTACACGATTACAGCCAAATTGACATCATCGTGACATTCCTTCTTTCTCCTAAGCAAAGCCAGGTCTTGTGCAAACTTTTCTTTCCTACAAAACAGCGGCCTTGCTCTTTCTGTACTTCAAATTCGGGTGCTGCGTCGAAACTTTTCTCAGCTGGAACGGTATCACTCATACGGACGGTATGACAGCGTAGTAGCTGTCTCTGGACCTTCGGTAATTGTCTACTCTTTTGCACCCTATAGCAGAACGAAAATGATGGGCGACCTGTAGAGCTTGATATTTTTTCATCTACGGAGGATTTTAGTTCTCATTTACCTACTCAGTCCATAGCAGCATCTGTTGGGAAAAGGGTTTATTTGAAAACAGCAGATGCTTATATGTTATCCTCGTTCTGCCTAACTTTTACGCCTCGCTTCCTTATCTACTCTGTCGAAATCAGAGCTAAAGACGGTTGTCGAGCCGATTATGAAGAAAAACTACGGACCTCCATCGAAACTACATAGAAAAGGTTGTTACAAACGGATTAAGCTGAACGAGCGAACCCTAGTAATGTATATTAAATACCAATGTTTAGCTCTGTGTGGTGGATATAAAAGTCAAGCAGTCAAAAAGTGACTATAAAATGTAGAAGTAATCTGAACAAAGTCGCGACTAAATGCAACACTGTTGTGGTCTAGGTACTCGGACACAGTAACATTCCAGGCAATAGCATGGCTCTTCTATCCACAATAAAACATGATCGATGCAGGTTTACCTTTGTCTCGGCGGTTTTATAAGGCACACGAAATAGTTAGAACATTTGAGTAGGTAAAGACAGCAGCCACACAGCGATACCACAATGAGCATATGACCAGCAACCGCATCAACGCAACTCAACTCTCTGGATATAATCTACTTTGAGCAGTTTCACAGAAATCCAAGTTTTTAAACTCGCACTATTATCCACTACTGTGCTCGAGCGAATTTGAAGAAAAATCGTTCTGAGCCTGCCACCCACGAAGGCAGCACGTTCTATCCCCCCTTTGACAAGCCGTCAAAACGTAACAGAGTTCAATTGAGAACTGACGGTACATGGCTACCGTCAGACTACCATATGTTTCGCTCACTTTGCAACCTTTCAAGTGCCAAAACTTTTAATTCCGACTTTGGAGGCTTTTGTAATTCATTATTTTCAAAACTCATGCCTTTGAATTCCAATTTTGGAGAGCTTTGAAATATATTTTAATAAGTTTCTAAATTATATATTACAGATGCCTATCCAACGGAAAACCCGCTGGTACTCGTTGCACCGGAACTAACGGATCCCAGTAAAGTTCAGCTGCTACACTTCCCGAATGGTGCGTTGCGTATAAACTCAGAAATCGATTTCACAATCAAGCGTAATGGCGTAAAGGGTAACTTTGAAGTGAAGGTAAGACATTAGACAAAAACTGCATTATCCGAAAGTAATCGAAATCGTATTACAAATTGCAGGTCGAAAGCCCCGCCGGCATGAATATTGTCACACCCTTACAAATCGTTGACCCAGAACGTTTAAGAGTGAACTTTTGTCTGAAAGAGGCAGGCCTCTATAAAGTTCATATTAAATGTAATTCCGTGCCTTTACCCAAATCACCTTTCATCATAATATCCATTTGTGGTGAGCCAGAGAGCAATGTCCGCAAAATGGAATGTAAGTTCATTGGCAATATAATTTTATTTTAATTTTTTATTTATCTTTTGTTTATTTTCAAATCACTTTCTTCTTCCAATTTCCAGTGCCCATATTCAAATCCGATGCCAGTTGTGTGACCCACCGCGGTCTTGGCCTAACACACATTTCACTCGACGAAAAGAACGAATTTACCGTTGATGGGTCGGCGGCGGGTAATAATATGCTCTTTGTTGGTATATTCGGGCCGAAAGGACAATGTGATGAGGTGGTCATTAAGCATACGGGAAATAATGTTTACAAAATAACATATGAAGTGCGTGACTCGGGCGATTATCTGCTGGTAGCGAAATGGGGTGACGAACATATACCCGGTTCGCCTTTCCAATTAAGTGCCATGTAAACGGAAGGAGATATACACATTTAATCCTTCATTAAATTGCGAGTATTTTCCATATTTCATTAGGACCTTCATAATATCCTATCGTACTTAATTTAATATTAATAAATAAATAAAAACTATAATTAACGGAAAACAAAGTATTTTATATTAATGGCGCTTGTAATCGCTGAAGCGATTTTCGGCCGTGCTCTTTCTTAAATTTGTTGTATGCATCCAAATGTTTTTCCAACAAATCGAAGGAACTACAGCTTGTTCTAAGTCGCCTTCAAACGGCTGATGATTTTTTATATACACTTTTAGGGCTTAACATTCCCCGCCGATGGACGACCGCAATTAGAAATCCAGGGGGACTCGAACCATGGCCTTCCGAATGGTAGTACGCAATGCTAACCACTCTTCTACAGCGGCCGCTTAATATTAACCACCTTAATACCTATTGATTATCTTTGAATCTATCATATTATTATAATTTACTTAGATTATGTTGTAATTACTTCTGATCCACAAATAAATTCAACCAGAAATATACGAAATCCGAGTGGCAATTACGGTAACAACAATCCATAAAAATCTGTTGCTAATAAATGTATGCATGCACTGGTGCATCCAGCGGCGCAACAAAATGGGGATTACTTTAACATGGTAATATAAAAGGTGATATAAGGGGGCGTACATATGTAATGAGCTTCCAGCTCCACATCGAAATAACAGTAAAAACTATAGACCATTCTTGATATTCTTTTCAGTTCATAATGTAACAAATTCCTCCTTTAAGGAGAACGAAGCGAATTAGGAATATCTTCTTTAAGGAATTATGCTGCAGCGATCATACGAGAACGGTATACGAGGGTTGCCCTTTATATTTCATTATTAGAGAACAAAAACAAATTTTGATTATCGAAAATCACTTTAAGGGGTTCCATAGGTCTTGAAGGCCAAAAAAAAGCTTATCAAAATCAAAATCCAAGTTTTTTCTTAAAGTAGGTGAGTTTTCCTTGTCCCTGAACGAAGAAGAATTAAAAAAAAATTAAAAACGTAATTTTTTGCATAAAATTAGGCAACAAATTGGCTTGTAAAATGAGTTCAAATCAAAGATAAAATAAATCCTTCGTTAAGGGTCTACAAAAATTTGCTTAAAAAAAGTGTGGCAAATTCGAACTCGATCGATTCAATAGTCGTTAAGAAATTTTCACTACCGATTTCGATAAAGTGGCCATTACAAAGACGGTGGGTTATAGAACTCTCTGATTTGTACAGTTTCGTCTCGATCGACTTGAAACTTGGGGAAAATATTCCTGACACTTTGTACTTTTATACAAAAAATTATCAAAAAAATGAATTTTTGAAGTTTGAAGACTTATGTAACACCTTAACGGTAGTCAAAATATTCTCTATTATTTGCCACTTTAAATGAGATAACTTCAAAACATGAGTTCTGAACGCGTCAACGGCTCCGTCAGATGTCGCAAGAAGGACGACCGCTGAGTTTATTTCTTACTTGCGGGAATAAAAAAACAAAAATAATAATTTTGATTTTAGTCATGACTATACAGTGAGTGGGTGAATCACGAAATCGGTTTTTTAAGTGTTCAAAAAATGCTGTTGTTTCAGTCGATGTGTCGGAACTCGCTTTGTGGTGGTGAAAAGTGACGTCTTCGGCGGTTGGGTTTCCTTATTTCTAGAAAGCCAACTGGCAAAAAATGGCTGTGTACCACTAAGAATTCATTGTCCTGTGTTGTTGTAGCGTTGTGGCTGGGAAAACAGGCAAACATTTGCTTGGAAGTGCTTCGATCGCGAACACCCATATAGTCGACTGTTGTTTAGTTCGAATTTTTGACCGAGATGAATATTTGAACGTTTAACGCCCTGAGTATGTATAACAACTAAATGCCGATTTCCGAAATATAAAAGGCAACCCTCATATAAAGACAATGAATAAACTAAATCAGCCGCAGTTGTGGAGGGAACTCCGGACCAAAATAGTCCATTATGTAAAAAAAAGATTAGAACAAACAAAATTCCAAACATGAGCTGCTCATAAAAATCGATCAGATGATGGACGTGCCTTCAAATTGACAAAAAATGTTTCGAATCACAAAATACACAGCGGGGAGGAAGATTTATAAGAAAAAACATCACTGATGCAGTTGCCTGCTGGACGCCGAGCAGCCTCCAGCCACAATAGAAACAAAGTACATGACAACACGAACTCAATATACTGTTGGACCCAGGACGGTTGCCAGCCTTTTTGATCAGCTTTTATTTTGCGCTTAAAAATAAAAAACTAACTTAATTTTATAACTATTTGTTATCGATAGTTTGGGATGTTGATTCCAAAGCATGACCTTCCTGAATGGTATGTATGAATGGTAGTACACCCTGCACATGGCGCACCAAATTTTTATTTATCTCAACTATTCAATGTATGCCAGACCAGAAATAAGTTCCCTCAAGACAATATTCAACTTTTTGCGTGTCTCCTTAAACGTACTCATCTTAAAAAGCCTTCTCTTTGGTTCAAAATAACTCTTTCTTTGGATCTCCCATTAGAGTCTTTCGAACGCATCAGTAAGCTTTTTCTGCTCTTAAACGTCTAGCGAATCGGTAAAATAACTGCTTGTCCAGAACTGGTTGACTGAAAATTCCTTAATTGTTTAGTTTAGAATGAAATATATACATATTATTGGCTTGCTGAATCTCTGAATCTCGATCAGTCGTCAAAAAGTTGCTACGATATATCTGGGCTAAAGAGCCCATGCAATCCCCTCGAAACCAAATCAACGCCTCCATCGACAAACCCGCATATTTTATCGTAGCTCTGTCATGCTGTTGCTCTTTTTAATGATAATTACCACCATACTTGCGAATCGCGACTGAATCAAGCAAGAGTCATTATTTGAATTCTGTTGTATGCTTTACTTTCGTTGTGCTAATGACAATTTCGTTGAAAAGCGTACGCCTTTACCTCCTCGCAACATACTTTCGCACCCAACTATCGCATTTCATAATAGCTGCCCTTTGGAGCTTCCATCATCGCTCTCGTCATAAACATTATTCTCGGTCGGCGTCGTTGTCGTTGGCGTTGTCGTTGTCGTTGTCGTTGTCGTCGTCATCGTCGGTTAATGAGCCTTGCGCCCACCAAAACATTATGATGAAGACCGGCAAGGTACACACATATACAGAAACGTATATCTATATGAGTATTAATTCTTGTTTATTTGAGATACATTTTTGTTGGTACTCGCTGGTCGATGTTGCGACGCCTTCATCGCGAACTGTCTGTCTCCTGCCACAACATCCCCCCATGTGTGTGTGTGTGTGGTATTTGCATTGTCCGTCTTAAAGACTGCAGCATTAGTAAGTGATATAAAGTAAGATAAATTATTCGCTATTTGTCTGTATGTGAAAAACCGCATGCCATCCACGTACGTGTATGTCCAAATTTGTAATTTTCGGAGAAAGTAATTTTTCAAAATAACAGGAATTTTTACTTATCTAACATTTATGGCAGCATAGGGATAGGCGTGAATGTGTTTTACATATATGCTTACATAAATAATTATAGTACCGGTACAAACATTTGGTTTTGAACTCCACGATATGATATTCAAATGCGTTTAAAGCGCACGAAGAAGGTGTTTGATCAATCTAAGTCGGCGAGTTTAACTAGTGGGAGGTCCAGGAAACGAGCTGTTTCGCAGGGATTGGACCAAATGGAGAGTAGGGTTAGATGAGTTGGTTTAAGAGGGCATGTGAAGAGGTGGTTAGCGTCTTGCGGACACTCTCCACGTGCAGGACATATGTTGGATATGCTGGGGTCGTGTCTGAATAAGTAGGAGTTTAACCTGCTACAATACCCAGACCTAAGTCTTGTCAAAGCAGTTGTTACTTCTCCCCTGTTACGGTCAACAGATAACATTAATTTAAGTTCACCAGTGGAGCAACACCTTGCAGCTGGGTTGCTCCAAATCCTTCTTATCAGGGCTGGCGTTGGAACCAATCCTGGTCCGACGGATTACTTCTGATGCGTGTGCCAAAAAGACTCCACCACTCCTCCACCTCGGTTAGATGAACCAGTGTAATGGTTGGAGCCATCTTAAAACCTCCTCAGACCTTAAGACCCATAGAAAGTGGATCACAAGCTATGTAGCCCCAAGTTGCCACCACCCTAACGCGCCCCCAGCCTCCACTGCAATGATACAAAAGAAGGTGTCATCGTGTTTCGGATGGGTAATATGAAAATGTTCGAAAACTCTGCTTCATTCAGCGACAGAGTCTCTCGCCCACAATTAAACCAATACCTAATTTGCTATTTCTAATACGCCCACGGCAATATTTATACAATATGTCTGAAGCACCTACATCTTTTATTCCATCCTTGTTCCATCAATCGCAATTTCAGAAGGCGCTATTGCAGTCTAGGTCATCATGATTCGAGGCTTTTATAGAAGGGGTTTCGATCTACGCTTAAAGCGTGCGGTTAATTTAAAGTTTGTTATAGGATTTTCTATTTGAGAAGGAGCTGAATGGTCTGAGATAGCCAATGGTAACAGTCTTGCACCAGGTCCTTCGCCTTATCTTTACCTGTCATATCCTTTCAACCATGGGCTCTTATGTTTTACTGTGATAGTCTCAACATTTGTGCCCTTCGCTTTGTTTTTTATAAATTGGACAAGGAATCGAGGTGAATGGGTATAATGTTGAACAAGGAACAGTCTGGACATATGCATTTTGGCTCCCATATCACGGTTGACCGTCAAAACTTTAAATGCAGTGTAGTGATTAGGACAAAGGACGAAGATAACGCCGTTGCGAAGTTCAGCTGAATATGGAAATTATTCAATTGTTTTGCGAAGGGAAGAAAAAACTGCCGGTAATCACTCAAGCGGTGCCTAAGAGAGTCAGAAAAAAGAAGATATCTTCTCACATTGCGTTGATTGTCACTTGCCCGTATTCAATAAACCCAATAGATTGAGATGATTGCGTTTGACGCTACATTTGTTATTAGGGCAGCCACAAAAGAACCCTTCCTCCTATGCCTGCCCAGCATTTATCTTTATTATTACCGATAAACTTGTCTTCCGTCCATTGTCTCTTGCAAAGGGAAAGGAATAAGTGGCAGAAGGTTTATATTTTCCGATACCATTGTAAGTTTAGCCATGTTCTTCATAATGAAGGGACTATACTCAATTGCTGCACTCAATTATTGTGTGAAATCTGTGTAGCATTGACCATATATTAACCTTTGAAAAGACCCGTAAAATAAATACCCAAGACATGCTAAACATGAGCTTTTCAGCGATTTTTAAACTGGCTTCGACAGCACAATCAGGAGCTGCCTGTAAGCCGCTATGTCCGAATTTTGGTATTCGTGCAAAACTTATACGGCTTTGTAGACTGACAAACAACAACACCAAAACGCAGTTAGTTATATCATAGGCCTTAACAACCATGCCATTAGTGTTGCCTTCTCCAAGCTTTGCATAGAAGCGAAGTGAAAGGGTCTGATAACATACGAAACAAAATATCTTCTACCATCAAACAAACAGTCGGCGGATGCGGATTAAGGACTTGGCTCTCACGTAACAGTTGACATTCATACCATCGAAGTCGTAGATAATTTCGTCCATCCGGGGACCAGTATTAAAAACCCATTGTAAAAAAATCACTCCTTTGCTACTTCGAACTGAGTTGGCAATGGAAAAGTAAAATCCTCTCCCGACGATCCAAAACTAAACTCTGTAAGTCACTCGCGTCCTATTATATGGTGCGAGAGAAAAATTCTGCGGCCTTGGTTCTGGAATGACTAAAACATCAAATATGCAAAAAAGAAATAAACAGATTTAGGTGGTTATAGCTCATAACCACAAATACATGCAATTTGATTTAAAATTCAAACATCAACCTGGTAATTCCATCAATACAAAAAATGAGTGTAATTTCCTTCCTCTTCTAAGCACACGAAATAAATACAATCAACCTTAATGATGATGAGTTTCTGCCGACGCCGCAGTCGACCATAGCTTACGGTCATTGCTTCATTATAATGTTGATTATCGCTACAAAAGGTGTACGCTACAACAAAAAAATATATTTAAATACATACATACTTTTGTGTACATATGTACATATTTTTTAAACTTATAATTTGTAATACAAAATTTAAATTTAGGCACTCAAAATAGTTTTGACAATTTTTCTCAAATTTAACACATTAACTCAAACTATTTTTAAATTTTAAATTATGTAAAGTAATGTGCATTTTTTCTAATTCTGTTAAAAAACTAAATAATTAATTAATTAGTGTTTTTGTTGTAAATTAATTCAAGAAAACTAATGCAAGTAAAGTGATTACTGCTCTTTCTTATCAAAAATATTGTATTTCGCAGTTACGCACACAACAAACACTTGTACATATATTATACATATCTATGTTCATAAATAAATAAATAAATAATATTCTATTTGATAAGATGAACTTTTTAATTCATGATTAACATTCTGTCCTATAATTAAACACCTTTTCATATTTTTAAAAAATGATTTTGACTCTTTAACTTTCTTGAATAATCATCATTAGCTATTGAATTATAATTATAATTCTTAAATTGATTTATACGTGTATACGTATATTTGTGTACATACGTGTACATATGTATTTAAATTGCATAATTATAACAAATTGAAAATCATCTTATAGAAAATTCCTCTCATATTTCCCCATCTTCCTTAGCTGGGGCATACATCACTTAGCAGTGATGAAATTGTAGCTTTAACGCCGCAAACTTCATCGCAATCCGACAATATAATAATGATGGCAGTTGGGGTATATGAAAGGAGAGGATCCAAAACGTTGGCGCCGCAGTAGCGTACGCAGCGACTGTGACGACAGCGGCAGCAACGACATCATGGCCGATTGTTTAGTTCCGATTCAGCTACTCTGTGCTTCGGTCGTGTTATGTCTGTGTACGCGGGGAGTCAAAGCCGTTTGTACAGTGTTGAAAGGCAGCGAATGGGAATTGTCATTATATTAATTACATCATTTGTTTTTCGGCCATAAGCGCCAACGAACGATAACATATTGATTAAGTTTCTTTTTTTCCCATCAAGAAATAAACAATAAGCAGTGTAAGAGAGTTTTATGTGAAAAATAAATAAAGTAAATAGGAATTATAACCTGCAACATCATTAGTGTGTAAGCGGTGCAGCAGATAAGAGTCGAAGACATATTGAATGGAAGAAAAGTGAGTGAAGATGATTTAGGTACCTACATGGAGAAAAATGAAATAGAAGGCAATATGAAATTAAGGGCCCAACAACATATGTACCTACTGAAATGTATAAATATGAAATTGAAATAAAAAGTGAGGAGCAAGGTGAACTGAAATGGTCATTAGGGTCAGTGATTGCGAATCCCATTAGTTTTGATGAGCTACTATGAGATTTATGTATGTGCAATATCATACATTAGTATGCAAATATATATGCATATACACATACATATGTATGTACAAAGGTGGTCTATGTGATTAACTGCACAGTTTACGAGACAAATAAGAAATAAAACAAAATACGTAGAGAGAAGCTAACGAAACTATTGCTTTTGGCAACTTTAGCACCCATCTGATGTACATATTTCTGGTTACACGGCAAAAGCAGCGACATTGGCGGACAAGTGTAGTTACTGACGAAAGTGTCGTCCTCTGGTGGCATCTCACATCCAAGATGTTTAACACCGCGAGAGCGCATCTGCATCTTCTTCACATATCGTTTTAGTATACTTGAATATCCGCTTTGGTATAAGTTGTTCACTGAGTATACTCGTACATATATGATGTCAGCTAACCTGTGCGTGTTACCTTACTTGTCGTTTTCGGCCTTTTCGTAGTGTTTTAAGAAATAATGCAACTTGACGTTGGTCAATTTCTAAACGGATTTATTTACAAAATTCCTCCAGTGGAACGTTTCACTATTCTGAATCTGCTCAAATAAATGAGTCCAACTGTGCCGGGAGAATAATACATACATACATATGTTTGTACATATGCAATATTTTTGTTTCTTTTTAATGATCATTCCGAAACTATAATTATCACAAGCAGAATGTTCAATTATGTATTTCGTTATGTGCCGATGATTGCGACCAGAAAAATGTACATGATTGTCTTGTTGTTCTTCTTTTTCATTAAGTTTCGTAATTTGCGCTAGCGCAGAGAGTGAGAAAACGATAATTACATTGATATACGCAGGCATGAGAGAAAGAGAGAAATTCCATGTACCAGTACCTGTGCTCTCGCCTGTTTTGGTGGCGGTAATTTTTTGCAGTTAGTTAATTTGGTGATTAGAAAACATTTTAATAAAATTAAAAATGAAATAGTTTTAAATAAATTTTAATTTAAAACTGTATCGATGGCAATTTAGTGCACACAGTTATGTTGTGTTGACTTGGCTTTACGGCTTATGAGTTTGTATGCGAGCGGCTCGTAGCTGCTTTAAGTACTTCATTAATTTCTCTTGGACAAATTGATATTTTAAACGTCATTATTATTGAATTTTTTAAATCATAATTAAGCGATTTTCTGTTTTGTTTTGCTCGCTGGTATCTTGTTGCGTGGCTACTCACTCTCGATTAGTATTGTGCGCGCAATTAACACAGAAATTTGCTAAAGTTAGCTATCAAAACAAGTGCTGCAAACTTTTTGTCTTTTTGTGTTATCATAAATGTCTCTAAGGGTTTTTGTAGTAACCGCAGATCCAACTATCGCGGGAACTGTTGGATTTTAGTCGCCTCTTACGACTCTCACTCCTTATCAAGTGTAAATTCTTGATCCTAAAAACCCACAGGGGTGGTCATGGAAGGTTAATATGTCACCAAGTGATAGTATGTAATGCATATGTTAATCCACTAAGCCTCCAAGTGTGTTACGGGCTGCCGTATAAGACTATAGAGAACGGTTTATGTATGAATCAAGTAAATTATAAATATAAATATTTAATTTTTTTTAATAAAAATAAAAATAAATAAAATTTGATCTTATTTATTTCAAATCGAATATTATAATAATTCAGAAAAATGAAAATATTTGAAATTGAAATATCAGTAACATATAAATTTAAAAATTGAAAATTGTAAGTTACAAATGTTTAGTAGATTCCTACAAAGACATTTTTAATTTAAAGTATTCGCCACAAATTAGCTTAAAAATAATAAATCATTATTCATTATTATATATATATTATTATATTATATATATATATATATACAAATATTTATGCTACATCTAAATAAAGCCATTTTTCCAGATACCCTAAAGCCCTTAAACTTAACTATTAAGACAACAACCCGCTACAGCGAAGGTTCCTCGAAAATTCGATTTGTCCTTTATGAGACCCATGTGAAATGCCTGTAAGTGAGAATTTGTATTTTTCTTTAAATACTTGTACGAATTATTAATGGCACTTATTCTTTTAGTATGAAAAATTCAATAAAAAGCGCCGACAATGGGAGGATAATGGAGTTTTAGAATTAATTAAATTGTGGAAAGTTTGCGCTTATGAGTTGCGCACCATAAAACGTAATGGTCATTTATATGTGGCTATGGCAAAGCAGTTAACTGCCTTAGGTGTACCTGTATCTGCATTGGAAGTACATTTCAAAGTAAACAATTTGACGCAACGTTATAGGTATGATACAAATAATAACTCTGCCTCGCATTAAGAATTAAAACTATTGTTTATAATTACAGACAAGAGCAAAAAACTTTCGAGACCACTGGCATAATAAGCACGTGGAAATTCTACTCACAAGTGGATGATGTTTTCAAAAGTTTGGCGGGCCAAGCTGGGTGAGTAAAATACTAGTTAACTGAAAAATTAATGTATGGTTTATTGATCGTATTAACAAGTATTTTATATCGTAATATACGCAGAGATAAACGCATTATGACACCTGCTTCAAATCCGGGTACTTTGCCTTCGGCATCGGAATCTCCCGTTTGGAAGAATCAAATGTCGCAGCAAGAGTTCAACAGTAATAATTCTGAAGGTTTTTATAAGTACGTTATAATTTTAAATTTTATATCAAACTCAAACGTAACCAATGTAATATCATTAATTTTTATTTGTCAAGATCTGAGTATGGAATGCATAGACATTTTATGGATCACACCCAACCACCACCGAATCAAAACAACGATGTGAATTTTATGGCCTCTACAGCCGCTGCTGCTGCAGTTGCGGCTGCTTCAGCACATCTTAATCCAACGCCTAATAATACAAATACTAATGGTGTAGTACCCAACTACAACAACAATAACAAAATTAAAAAACCAACAGAGGATTACGACAAATTCGTGGATATAGTGAAAAATATTGTCGATAATCATAAAGCAACACCGGATAAAGTAGATACATTCGGTGACTTTATAAAATCGTATATGAGACGTTGGCCTGATCGTTTGCAGGACGAAGCCATCAATCACATAACAAATTATGTAATTGTTAAAAATATGGAAAATTCGATGAATAATGGTGGAGATGGTGTGAATAATAGACAATAATACAAATGATTTTTGTAAGAAAATTTGGGTTATATAAGATAGAAGAAAATTTGCAATGTGTTTAGTCTTCAAGTCGGATTTAGTTTCAAAAAAGTCTACATAATTTCAAGTAATGGTAAAGATTTCGTTTTGGGACTAAGTTTAAGTTATATAAAATTTTAGAGTTTAGTAAAAATATATTCATGCTTATGCATACATACATAAATGTTTGCTTTTAATGCACATGAGATATAGCTATTAACTTTTATACCTTAAGAATGAATTTTACTTATAGTTATATACATTTAAGTTAAATGAAATGCTTTTACTTTTATTATATGAAAATAAAAAAAAAATCAGAAAATGTTTGTTAAAATAATTTAATTTCACCACAGTTGAGGTTTTAAAGATGTCTTTTTACATATTCAACCTACTTAATACATGTCACTTATTGAATTGCATTGAGTTAAGTATGTTGGCAGCTCTACAGCTGTCATTTATTGTTACTACGCCGCCAAAAAGAAGAAGAAACTGCAATAAGGAAATGTCAATGTTTTCTCTCCTTTGTTTTAATTCGTTTAATTTTACGTGTTGTTCTATTTGTTAATACATAAAACTATAACTTTTATTTAAAATATAGTTAGAAAATGGGTGTTTCTAATTATGATGGTACATGTTTATTTTGCTAAAAAGTTCAAAAAATTAAATACCGTTTATTTTTCAGCTCTACGTAAGCAAGCAAGGCACTTAGAAAATGAAATTGATTTAAAGTTAGTAGCATTCAGCAAAATTGGTGCTGGCACTAGCACCTCCCTACACAGCAGTTCATCTACCGACACATCACCATTATTGGGCGAACATGTTTTCGATTCGCTCTCAGAAGAAATATCACAAATGTTAGATAAGGTATAAATAATTCCCTCCCCATAAGAAAGAACATTGACTAACTTTTGTTGAAATTATGTACATAGCTATCATCACTGAATGAAACAATGTCCGAGCTTCCTGCAACAGGTGCTGCTGCTATGCATACACTCCAGCGTCATCGCGAAATTCTGCATGGTTATAGACAAGAGTTTAATAAAATTTGTGCAAATCATACAACACGTATAGAGCGTGAGGAACTATTACGTGGTTCCGGCCTGGCCACAAACAGCCCTACTATTTCCGGACTAAGTAGACGTGATCTTTATTTAAAAGAAAGTACTCATTTGAATAGGTATAAAAATGAATGCAACACTATGATTTCGCTAATACTAACAATTATTCATATTAGTTCCAGCAATATGGTCAGTGACCAAATTAATATTGCTATTGAAACTCGGGAGCATTTACTTTCGCAGAGACAGGCATTCAAGCGACTGCAGACACGATTTAATGACATATCCAATAGATTTCCTTTGATATCCAGGTGCGTTATTTGACTTATAAATTATATATTGTACGTTGATATGTCTGATCTACCGTTTCAGCCTCATACAACGGATCAACATCAAGAAAAAACGAGATTCCTTTATTTTAGGGGCAGTTGTTGCACTGTGTGTTATACTTTTATTGCTCTACGCATTCAATTAACGATTTTCCGAAACGAAACCTATTGCAGTTACCAGTTAAAAAAAAAAACTTATACATTTCATGGTATTGTTAGAATTAATCAGATATACATTTGGATGGAGAAAAGTTATTCTATATTTTTTACAAATTTCTGTTCAATTTCAGTTAAAATATGTTACAATAATCAATAATAATCGTATTGTAATTTGTGATAAATATTGTTTGAATAAAAACGGTGGGTCAAATAAACTACATAATAAACTTAATATCCTTCACCTAAGTTAAATATGAGGAATATGTAGCCGAATATATATTCAGTTAAATCTAAATCAAAGTTAAAATATTGATGCAAATATTTCATAGAGTAATAGATTTAAGAATTTCTATGCACTAAACTGTTCGCTCAGTTGATTGTAGCGCATTTTTCAATTGAACAGCTGTTTGCAATCAGCTGATCTTTTTGACAGCCGCGCATGGTTGAGTAAAAAAAAATTTTGTGTATATTTTTTTTACTGCATAATTTAGTTTTAATTATAAAATATATAAAAGTTAAAATAAAATGACAACTTCATCTGAGGTTCAAAAGAGTGAAGATAAGCGTATATTTTTCGAAAATGCTCAAATGGATTCAATGGCACAACACTTCGTGGGTAATCTCTATAGGTAACGTTTTATATAGCCTTTCCTATTTCATTGCATTATTACAGTACGTTATTTAACTTTCGATCTTAGGTACCGTGAAAATATAGTGATACCAACGAGTAATGGACCAGTGCAAATTAAAACCAATGAAGAGAAAATGATTGAAAAAACCGTGGAAAGCTGTGCATTCAAGTCAATTACGGCATGCGTTATGGGTAAACAAGTTGTTTTTCAAATTACAAAAACAAGCAAAATTATCTAATTACTTATTTTACCGACAGGTTACGGTTTGGGTGCTGCTATCGGTTTATTTAGTGCTTCTGTCAATCCCAGCCTTACAGATCCATTGCTGCATGAAAAGAAGCAGACTGCACGTGAAATTTTACGTGATATGCGTAAGACAACACATGGCTATGCAAAGAATTTCGCCATGATTGGCATGGTGTTCTCCGGTGTAGAATGCACAATTGAGAGTGTAGGTGACAAATATTGCAAATATATAAATGCTATTTATGTCTTATATTTTTTTTTACGTTTCTTATTAGTATCGAGGTGTTACTGATTGGCGAAACGGCACCTACGCGGGCGGTGTAACCGGCGGTTTGATTGGTCTACGTGCAGGTGTAAAGGCTGGCATTGTGGGCGCTGCAGGTTTTGCAGCCTTCTCTACAGTAATTGACTATTACATGCGACACAGATTGTAGAAATGTGGCGAAATAATAATTATTATTATTTGGATTTAAAATATCTTGGTTTTTTCGACTTCTGTTAGTGTAAAGTTAATACGTAGTAATTAATAAAATTTATGTTAAAAACATTGAAAACACCAAAAACGAAGTGAATTCAAATGCAGTCAACTATCGATAATGTAAACAATTTTCATCCTTAATTGAGTGAGGAATTCCGCTAATATCTATATACTAACATACATATGAATTTCGAAATTGTTTTTTTTTGTAAGCTTACACGTATTTGAAACCATGCCATTATTTAAAAAACTCAAGCTGCAAAGACACACATTTTTTCAAGAAAAGAAACATCCTTTATAGCAGTACTGAGGAAAGTTAAGTTTTTGTTTTTTGTCTTGAAATATTTAATTATATAAATAAGAAATGGTGTAAAATAGGTCATCGAATACAATGCAATATAAACTTAAAAACTGCCATGAAATTCAATAAATAATATATATTATATACATATATGTTAGTTCATAAATATTTATCAACTGCTGACAATGCGATTAGTTTGGGGACCACTGCTTAATTGACCAACGAATACTTTCCCAGGTACTTAAAGCATTAATTTGATTACAAGCAAACTTTGACATTTTCCAGCAGCATAGTACAGCATGAAACCTAGTTATAAAACTGCATATCTACATTCATACATACAAACTCAAACTAAATAAAAACTGGTCTCAGGAGAATTGCAAAAAGAAAATGTTAAATAAAATAGCGTTTAACCGCAACGTGTAGGAATTTAATAGCCGCAAGTATAGGAAATAAACTTATCTTCGAATACAGTAAAACGCAGAAATACACAGGTATGTACATACATACATATGTATGTATATATCGGCGCAAAAGAAATAATTTATCGTTGCAAATAAGAACAACGTGCAACAAGATCCAAGCCTAACCAAATCTTTAATAAACAGTGCAACAAAAGCATGCAAACATATGTATGTATGCATGTGTGTATTTCAAGCAAACGTTTGGCGCGCATGCGCTAGGCAATATAAAAAGGAACCAAATCAAAGGTGGAGAGACGGGTAGTTACTGTATAGCCGCCAGTACGCAGTACCCCTTTGATGCGGCTGACCGGTTTCGAAACTTTTTGTGTTACTGCTAGTACATTTTCGGGTTCCCAAACACTCGTATAACCTGCCAAGCAATAACATAAGTAGCGGCAAACATATAAAAAGAGCAAAACCACTACAGCATCAACATCATCAAATGCAAGTAGCAAAATTGAAGCCACCAGTTTTGTGGTCTGTCCCACGCTATGCTGAAGCACCAACTGCGATCGAACGTGACGTGCGCGCCTTATTGCTGCTTTCTTTATTGTTTTATTTGTTATTTTCATTATTTTTGTTTTCAATGAGCGCTCACTCGTAGTGTATTTGTGTTTATGTATGATTTATATATGTACATTTGTATATATGTACATTTGTATATATGTACATATGTATATGAATGTAAGAGTTTTTAAAAGTAAGCTTTCGTATTGTTTACCAAAAGTACCTACATACATATGTGTTTAGTATATGGTGAGTGGGTACTGTCTTACTTGAACTTGTTTTGCATTCTTTTGGTATGCAATATTTCGGGCACTTGAGCTTTACGAACAACATGTGAGCGTGTAAGAAGGGTTTGGTTAATTCAATTTATGTATACCCTTATTGCAAAGAGATCACGAAGGTAAACTTTATGATGTATTTATTATTAACGGCCGTAATGACTGAGTGGTTAGAAGCTTCTTAGAATGAACTAGAAGGACCTCAATAAAATCTAACTCGTTTGAGCCCTATAAAACTAAAACTGGTTTCGGGATGTCAGTGTTGTTGTTGTTATAGCCGTAAAAATATTCTCCATATAGTTTTTGGGGAATGTTGCGGAAGTGACAGTCCTTAGCTGAATAAAATCCGGGTCTTTCTCGTATAAAAAACCGACTGTCGCTGGAACTATTGGATCTTAGTCACCCCTTACGACAAGCCTTACCAAGGGAAATTCTTGAGCCCCTAACCCGCAGGATCTTTTCGGTCTGTTACATACTGAGAGAGTATTCAAAAAAATGGGAGTCCCGATCAATACGTAATTAAATCTGCATTATTTTATGGGGTATCGAAATGGCATGCTAAAACTTGCTATAAACATTTTTATACTCAGGGCGAAACCAAAAAATCTTGGATAGTTTGTTGCCTTGTGAAATTTAAGGGATTCAACCAGTGTGACACTTTCAAAAAATTTATTAATTTTTTTGACATTCTTCGATAGCTTAAACCTTCGAAAAAACATGCTTGGAACACAGATGCGTAAGTGTAATAGTTTTGGAATAATCCTAAAACAGCTGAGATCAGTCATGTAAGTTTTCTTATCAAACATTCTTTAATTTCTCCAAACCGGGTTTTCGAAATTCGCTGTCATTGTATCTCAGAAATTGATTATCCGATCGACTTGAAGTTTTCTCAGCTTATTCAGCAAAGTGATCGCCGGAAGTTTCGATCGGATTAAAATTGTAAATTTGGCATTTAAAATCCCGTCAGATTTTTCAGCTAAATTTTAACTTTTTTTCAAACCGAGGCCATTTTTTTTCTTGGATATAATTTTTAACCTTAATAGTGGGTTGCTTTATAGTACATGTAATCGTCTTTAACACTTGGCTTTTGTCTTTTTTAAGGCAGATAGGATGACAGCAAAATGGAAGCTTGTTTTTCTGGACCTCCACGGTTTTGCGCATATTTCGTCGAGAATTCAGGATTTCGGTTGGAAAAAAAATATGTAAATATACCTTATTTATAGACGACTAAACACGTGACGTTGTCAAGCATTTAATATAGGAATTTTCTTTAAAATATTTTTTTTTCGCTGACACACGTGTCCCTTAAAAAGAATTAAGAGAAGTCGCTTATCAACACTTTTTTTTTATTAATATATATTTATATATATATAGATATTAATTCTTTCTTAACAATATTAAATAGATAATCATCATCTGTGGTACTCAGCGGTAGTTGTGGGGAATTTCAAAAATTCAGTTGAGTATCCACAATCCAGAATCTTATGGTCTTGGATAAAAAAAAAATTTAAAAAATATATATGCAAATTTAATGTTTAGAAAAATACTAAATAATTTCATAAAAATTATCAAGAGAGATGAAAACATTAAAAAATAAACCGATTTCAAAGTGAGACATTGGTCTGCTGGGATTACCATTTGAAAAAAAACATCACTAATCCGTTGAGCTTTACTAATCAAAAAAAATAGCAAATGCTATTTAATTTATTTAAAATTTATTACAAAAAAATTGCAATCCTTTTATATAATTTTTTTAAGTTTTTAATTTTCTATGTTTTTTGTAGCTTTTTTTTTAATGTTTTTATTTAGAACCTGCGCATGCTTGGTATGCTTTTACAACTTCCCTTGAGCTACTGTTAGCGCCTTAACTTGCTTTTGTTTTTATTTTATGTACATATATCTATTGCTTTTTAGCTTTTACTATACTGCTGCCGCCGGTGCTGCTGAGAAGCACAAGTTGATCGCCGCTGATCGCATTGTTTGTCCCGTATGATTCCAGCCCGTTGTTTTAGTTTGCTAAGTGACTCTATTGGAAACGGACGGGATTTGTGGTCTGGTGCTTAATTCAAAAACAGAATATCTGTGTTGTTTACGGCTGTCGTCAATTAAACGTTGAAAGAAAAATAAAATAATATAAAATACAAAAAGATGTGCAGCCGGAGTTGAGCGACTGAAGAAGAAACATTTGTCTGTGGCGCACATACTCGTTTGTACATACATACATATGTATGTATGTATATCTGTCAGTGTTTGTATACGGCAAAAAAGGCAAACCAATTAAATCTGTAATAAAATGTATTGAGCTAGCGGGAAAAGTATCAGTTATTAAGCCACATTCATAGCACTTGTGGTTACTTGTTGGACAACTTGGCTGGTGGACAGGATTATGAAGCATCTGCTTCGTAACAAAAAAATGTACATACTGTACAAGCGTACAGTACAAGTATGCACATATAAGTGAGTTTGAAAATTGTGTGATTGCTTGGCTTTCGAAAATACAATAATTTGAGAAGATGCTTAAAAACACCAGCGAGTTTTAAAATTTTTTTTTTATATTTTTTTTTTGGTAATTTTTTTTTGGTTTTTTTTTTTGGTATTTTTTTTTTGGTATTTTTTTTACTAACGCCAATACGAGTGAAAGTAAGCAGTGATTAAATTTTTTTTTGCGAAAATTGGTATAAAAAAAATTAATTATCAGAAAAAATATTATTTGTGAATTGAATTGTATTTTACGGTCGATCCAGTTAGATCTGATCAAGTGCGGTAAAAAATCACAACACAAACGAATTCAAGAAGCTAAACGGCAGCATTTAATATACATATATATATTTATATATATACATATAATGTCACGTTTTTTTGCCGTCAATTCCGCGGGCTTAATTTGCTTTAAATATTCTCATTCACTTGGTTTGGATTTCGTAGTTTAACAGCTGTCGTCTCTTAGACGTTCCCAACTTCCGCTCTCCATAGTCTCTACGATCATTTTTTAAATATACGTATGTATACATACCATTTGTAGATAAATACTCATAAAAGTTATCTGTCACTGCATATTATTGATCGTTTACTGCATGAAACCCCTTGCATTCATACAAATTTAACCGTTGGCTGCCGTCTTTTCCGCTGCTTCCTTTGATGGCTCTTAAGTGGTTCAATCGTGTAGAAAAATGCGAGTGAATGAATTGATCGAACTCGATCGCATATTGTTTGGTTAGTCAAAGGCGAAGTCCAAAAGTTCAATGGAACTTCGCAGTGACAGCATTGCTGGCGGCTTTGTGTCGTCGCTTTGTTAAATGCGATCTTGTCTTGATTCAATGGAGAATGATGCTATGTGATTGCGATATATGTAAAGGGTGATTTTTTAGCTATTATCTTTTTGGCAACACTGGTTTAAAGAGCTGACGCACGTTTCGTGTTTTATATCACACTGTCAAACATCTTCAGTTTGGTCTATAATTCAACTATGAATCGTCTTATAAACGAACAATGCCTGCAAATTATTAAATTTTATTATCAAAATTCGTGCTCTCTAAGAAAGTTCGCCGCAAGCTGCTTTCGCGCTCATTTTTGGCTTAATGTGTGCGTAAATAAGCTGAATGGTCGACTTTGGAGTGAAGATCAGCCAAAAGCATTTCAATAGCTACCAATGCATCCAGAAAGAGTCACAGTTCGGTGCGGTTTATGGGCAGGTGGCATCATTGGACCGTACTTCTTCAAAGATGATGCGATTCGTAACGTAACTGTGAATGGTGAGCGCTACCGTGAGATGATATCAAACCTTTTTTTGCCCAAAATGAAAGAGCTTGACTTGCATGACATGTGGTTTCAACAAGATGGTGCCACATGCCACACAGCACGCGAAATAATGGACTTATTGAGAGGCGAGTTCGGTGAACATTTTATTTCACGCTCGGGACTGGCCAATTGGCCGCCTAGATCGTACGAATTAACGCCTTTAGACTATTTTTTGTGGGGCTATGTTAAATCTAATGTCCAAACAGACAAACCAGCTTCAAGTGACGCATTGGAGGACAACATTGAAGCATTTATTCGTGAGATACCGACCGAAATGTTGGAAAGAGTATGCCAAAATTGGACTACGCGGACGGAACATTTGAGTCGCAGTCACGGTCAACATTTGCATGAAATAATCTTCAAACATTAAATTATATGTACCGTACTATCGGTTCAAATAAAGAATTTTAAGTGTTTTTTCTTGAAAAACTTTCCCATAGCTCTTAAAAGATCACCCTTTATTATGTTCGGTTGGATATTGATGTACGTATATATGTATGGACGGAGACAATCATATTTAATTTATTGGCAAACATGGCCTATTACTCATGCTGACTGATGCTCACCTTTCCCCCAAAGTTCCGCGACATGTTTTCTTTACTGATCATTTTTGATATACCAAAATGACACTTTATTACCGTTAAAATGTCAACAACTATCGATTGATTGCTAGTTTTGTTTACAAGAAAACTGTAGTAAACAATTAAATTGAATAAAGTAATAATCGTAAATTGTCAGTCTGTAAGTATGTATGTAAGTACTACTATGGCATGTGAAAAATAAATAGGACCAGTATTTGTTCCTTTAATGGCTCTAAAATCTACCGAAAGCAGTTTGCTTAAGCCCTCGAACTGTTAAAATTTAAGTCGATATGTTTTTGCAAAATCTTCAAAGCAACAAAGTTGGTATAGATCAAGCCAGGTTGGAAGTGCTGGCATAGCGCCCAAACTCACTTCATTAGTAAAACCTATACTCACCTTAATCTCTATGACTTACTGGTCTTGATAAAGTTGTGATGATCTAGGTGCTTTAACCTTGGTCTAGCAAGAGCAGGGCATTCATCAAAGCAGTGCTCATAGGATTCCATTTAGGTTATATTTCAAATAGCTTCTGCCAGGACTTTTAACATTTCTATATGTCCTTTCGTCGAACAGTGGACAGTCGGACATTTGTTTTGCTAGTAACCTGTTTAAAAATATAAAATATAATAGCTTCGTCAAGCTGAAGTAAAGTGCATTGAACCAAGAGAAGACTGAAGGAGGCTAGTGATCGATACTATCTAATCGGTAGTACTGTTTCTCATAAGCTCATCAGATTTTCACTTTACACCTATTCTCTCTGATCCAACAAAAACTAAATTAAATTCCAAGGCATTGGTTCAATCTGGAAGACTGTCCCTCTACCAGTGCTTTTTTCTAGCTTCGATTCATCTATGTTGCAAGGTAAAATTTACAAAACACTAGAAAATGTCAATCATACGACGTGGCGTATCTTTTTTGGCGTATAAATTGAGGTAACCCCTTTTCCCAATTCAATGATATTTGTCTGATCTGATATATGCCTGACTTGATAACTGTTAGCTTATATTTACGACTCACTTACCTCGGTCATCCACAGTCCATTCAGTTTTTTACCAGAATTTTGAAACTTTAAACCCGAACTCTGATGAACTTGGGTTTGGGGTGACTAAAGAAGAAGAATCAGTGCTTCCATTGTATATTCATAGACTCGTCTTTTTAATATGCATCAAAGCTATTTTTTCGAATATGATAGGTACTTGTAGACAGAAGCTCTCATAGCACTTTTTTCTGTGGAAAAATATATAGATTCTCTAGTACTCTAGTACTCGGAGAACGACGCTTTATTGCTTTATATTAATTGATAAGACGGGGAGAATAATTTTTAGACCTTTGATAAAGTTCACCTAACAAGCGATACGTTGTAATCTTGAGAGATATTAATTTTCGATAGAGTAAAATAGGTTTTAATGAATACAACCGAAATACGAGCACTCTAAGAAAGCATGAAAATATGCTATGGTTGCCAGCGCATCATCTTATATACGAACATATGTATCGGTGTTTGATCAAAATAAACCTTCAACTGCTTCCCACAGTCACCAGTCACCACAAATTTTTAACTTCTGTCTCCTTGTTGTCTCATAAACTTGTACAACATTCTTCGGCAATGATTCTTTAAAATGCGACTTCTTCAAGGCAACTGGCTTTCTGAGAATTTTCGTTGAGTAAACAAAAAAATTGAGGTACATTTGCAAGTGATGGGCATACCCAGTAAGCCAAAATAAAAATCCAAACTGAAAGGTGATTGTTCTGACATTTCGATTTATTATAGTTCTGTTCGGTAACACGATGGGCAGTAACAATTGTTACTGAATTTTACCGAGTCACGTTTGGTCAACCCCAGTAAAATTAGTAACGAGCGAGCGCAGTTTTGACGTTAAGTTGCAAGGAAAGTTGCAAGGAAAGTTGCAAATTCATGCTGGGAATATTACAACGAGTAAAAATTAGACAGTATGAAAAACAGCTGATTTGTGATCATTTGTTTGAAGTTTTGTCAACAAAAGAAAATTGATTTAAAATTAAAATAATTTTAATGAGTTAATATGAACTTTATATCAACAAAATAAGTGGTTAACTGAACAATATGAATGATTCTAACAATAATAAGGGCACTCGTTAAACGAAAATACGGTAGCAGTGGAGTGGATTCGTCGCCCGCACACTACTCAGTTTCCATTGAGAAGTTAGATGTTAGGAAGGCATAAAATTAAAAACATTGCTATTTCTAGTACAACGGTTGATTTTGCAACTGCTGTTGTACATCTTGAGGGTTTTTACTAGGTCCTATTCTTTGAAAACTCAATATCTTACTCTCTTAATTTCGTTACTGGCTGAATTTTACTGATATTCTTCAACGAACACAGCTAATATAATATCTTTTTTCTTGTACAATGTAATCCGATTTTAAATTCGATGTATCGACCGAACCACAAACCAATGCGAAGTAAAGTTGTTACTACGACCACAGTGGCGATTAAAAATGCATAAACTTTTGAAAGGAACGACTATGCATAAAATGAAATGAAAAATAAATCTCTTTTTAAATTTGCTTGGATTTTTATTTAAAAACAATTGAAGAAATTCTATAATACTTTTGAGTTAATATTTCAAGCTTCCGCGGAAAAATAATTTCAAACTTATTTTCGTATCTCAGTCATCCTTATTGAAAATCTAATCAGAGAATTATTGCAAAGCAAGCTCTACATCAATCATCGTCTTTATAGAGGACTATTAGAAAAAATATATATTGATGTCTTTATCGTTGGGCGGCTATAAAGCAAATAGAATTTCATCAACGTTGAAATTTAATACATTTTGCATACCATTAATAACCTAAAAATGTCACATAATTCCCAATTTTATTAAGGAGCACACCTAGTGTAATGGCCTAAGAAAAGGTGATTTGGGAATTTTTATTAAAAAAAATACTTCATCAATTATTTCAACGGCGCGAAAAAAGGTCCTTCACTTCAGCAGTGATTCCGGTCTTTTCCGTGGATGAAATCTAAAAAAAAAATTCTCTACTTGTTAATATTGTCTGTACAATGACCTACGATAAAATAATCAAAAATTGACAATATGGCGGCGTTTAAAAAAAAATAGTAGAATTTTACTCAAAATTTTGGTCGTTTTTGGCCTGCCGAAATTCGATTTTTTGATCAGATCAGATAGGTCATTGTACGGAGAACTATATATAGAACATGTAAACAAAATTCTACGAATCATTTGTTTTTGAGTAATCACTGCAGCAAATTCGGAAAATGCTGTTTCGAGAAAAAGGCGTTTAAAAATAAAATGATCGCTTTAACTCGTAGCTAATGAGACTCTCTAGCTGTCGAGCGGCTGCTCTTTCAATTGCTATAACTGAAAAACTATTTGAGATATCGATTTGAAATTTTAATATGTTATTTTTAAAGGTGTAATCTACCGACTAGGTGTGCCTCTTAAGATTATTATTTCCTAAAGAAATTTGTAATATTTTTAGAAAAATCCTTATACGTTACGTTGGAGATTTCCTCAAGAAATTGAAACGAAATGTTTGCTGGGTGTGCATGTACAGATGTTTATATGTCCAGCTATCTTCATTCATACGTGCATACATACATACATACAACAAATGAATAACAGTACTAGCTTCTTACTTGCCAATTTTTACTTATCTTCTTTCAAACGACAAACTAATTTACTATTCAAGCAAAACGCCATGAATCACTCAAGACCTTAAATGTTTTCGCTTTTCACCAATAAAAGCAAAGTAAGTCGAAACCGGCAGACATTTGTTACGCTTAAACATTTGTTTTGTTTCTATTTTATTTTTTTTTTTATTTTTTTTATATTTTTTTTACATGAGGTCTAATATCACTGGCGTCGCATCACACTGGAAAATCGTGTAAAAGAAATAATTAATGCTAATTTCGAAAATGGGTTTCCGTGCATTTAGCAAGCTTTTACTCAGCGAGCGTGCAACTCAAATTCCTGTTCGGTGAGCTGATGGGCAGTAACAATGGTTACCAATTTTTACTAAGCCGCGTTTGGTGAGACAATACACCGAGAGAACATAATTTTAACATTTCGTTACTGGCTAATTCTTACTGACAATCCCCACCACAGCTAACAGAGCTAATATAAGGACGAGGACTAGCGCAGTTCTCTCACCCGAACTCATTGATTTGTAATCGCTCTGAGTTTTGGTTCAACCAAGGTTGAGTCAGAGCAATGTTTTCGTACCCAGTAGATAGTACTTTTATTGTATCTCCAATTTATTTATTTACATAATCACTTAAGTGGTTCAAAACCGAACATTTTTTATGTCTAATATACATTTGAAGGGTTTAACGTTCTCTGCAGGCGAACGGCTGAACCCATCTATGTATATAAATATATATTTGACTTAAGGGGTATGCTGGTCTAGAGCGCAAAAAAGGGCATATTCTATGAATGTATTTTCACTCAACAAGAGAATCCAATCGAAAATCTATGAAATATGTTTAATAATAGAGGTTTCATGCCATAAATACAAAATTTTTCGTATAAATTAATTGTTTCTAATGGGTCCATGGCCGAATACTAAATTTTTGCTACTATGTAATATAAAAAAAATCCAGTACGTCTCTGAAGAACGGTATTTCGAACATACAGTCTAGATTCCATAACGATTAGTTAAGGTTAGTGCGAGTTATGTCTTTGGCCAGTTTAAAAAAAAACTGATTTCGAGAAAAACGCGTTTAAAGTTGTAAATTGCGCTCAAGACACTGCCGTCGTATTAAAAATTTGGGCACTTGGACATTTTTGCCGGCATCCATCTCATGGTATGTTATTTCTAAGCCCCTAAAGCACCTTTAAAACAAAAAAAAAATTTTTTTAATATTTTAAAATTCTACACCAGCCCTAAACCATGCTAAGTATTCTCTTACAAATATAATATATTTTTATATATACAATGCAATTGAAACTACAGCAGGAAGACAGACTAGGCTAGATGGTAGAATGTATTATTGTATGGCCATACCGATAACACGTGGCCTCAAGAGGATTGCATGAAGCATGAAGCGTAGGCAAGCCTGATTTGATCTCGAAAACGGCAAGAACATCTGTCTGCTCAGAGGAGATGAAATACTATCTAAGCTTTATAACAAGATATCAAAAAGGCATTGAAACTCCCATTTGGCGCTACATCAGGACTTGCAGCCAGTCAGGGTCGGTAGGCCGGTAGGTTGGTAGGTACAGTAGATGTCTGACGACGCATCTAGGCCTTTAGAAGAACCGTTGTTAAACCATCGGCACTGGAATTACCTCACACTAAAGTTATAGATTTTGAAAACTTTTATACGAGTATGTGGAATTTGCGTGACCGATAGTTGCGAATCTTTTCCTATACAAAGCCTTGTATCTTTATACTACTTCTAGGTAGCTTCTACAGTAATTATTATGTAGTATCTTCGGTCTGCTGGCATGTCTGCAAATAAGACAGTGATCTGTTGGCACCCGTCACTAGAGTTCTTTTTGTTGATTCTTTTTAAATTTCATTAGCCGACATATGCGGCGCGTTTGTTTGTCAAGCACGTCAAAGAACAGAGACTTAGCAACATCTATAACATGATGCTAATCATTTAAATATCTATAAGTGTGAAGAGTTGTCCAATCTGTCTAGTCCATATGCTAATACCTGGAATGCCCTGAGTCCTAGAACCTATAGTGGCTTTATTGTGACGAGGGTCGTTAGCTCTCTATTAGTAGATTAAGGCACTTTTTTCAATACCTTTGATGAGATCAAAGTAATTTGGTAGTCGGAGGTCAATTCTGACTTCAAATTTTCCTGAAAGCACCACCTCCCACTCGTTTAATTAGCTTAGATCCGTCCGTGTAGATACTTATCTCTTTGTCTCTTTCCACACCCCACCTCTATCCTCTGATTCTATGTGCTTACTTCGCTGCCAGCTGCTTGCAGTACAAGCCTATGAGGAGTACTGTCTAGGGATTGATTTGGTGTTGTTCTAAGTGCTCCACTGAAATACATAGTAACTGCTCTTTTTTGGTTATTTTTTTTTTGTGCAAATAATTCATGAGGATATGTGGGATTTAATCTCCGACCGAAACAGCCACTTCTTTAGCTTAAACAACAATATATAATCCATTCTTTTCTTGATATAATAATATTACATTCATTGCACGTCTTCATGAGATGTACCAGTTTCGACAGATCTGCAGATTGTTGAAACTCCCAGCATTGAAATTATGAACCTGCCGAAGAGCATCTGTTCAATTAATCCCACTTGAGATTCGGAGATGTCTTTAGAAGTTTCTTATATGTACATATGTCAGGGAAGTCTATGAGGGCGTATAACCTGCACGGATCTTGATGTTTCTGTGGTTTCTTCTATAGAGCACAGATGTTGTGATACCACTAGTTTTTCTAGGGCTAACTGAGTAATTTATTTATTTTTCAATTAATCCTTCTAACGTTTTAGGAGAAATGAAGATACTAATTTGTCTTTTGGGACTAGAATGTGATTGGTATTCCTCGATGATGAAAGAATATAGTTCAATTTCAGCTCGCTCTTGAAAATGATTACTAACCAGACTGTTATGTGGACCGTTAGTGTAATTTGTAGCTCTCAGATGAGTTAGAGAGTGTGATAGGTGCTGTGACAGGAGCTTCTTTGGCGATGAGGAATACTTTGATAATTAATCTTACTAGAAAAAGATACTGATTTTTTTTTTGAATTTCTCTCTACATTTACTACTAGACTTTTGTCAAAACTATTTCAAGAGCATTTGTACATATATGTATATGTATATATGCATACGAGGAATATTAATATTTTAACTTCTTTTTCATATTTCTCTATAGAATACGCATATTACCTATCGGTTATCACCTTGCTTGTGGTAGAAATGAAAATACGAGCAACAAAAGCAACTAAGAATACAACACGCTGATAATTTGCTTATCAAATGAAAACAAACACGAAATGGCAGTGATAACACCGTTATCTGCTTATACTATAAAACATGTTTATCTACTTATATACGAACTTAATTATTGCACTACGAAGGGTTGTTACCACGAAGAGGATGTTCCTTAAATTTAGTAGTGAAAAAGCTTTCGCTTCAACGCTAAATATTGTGCGACAAAGAAAAAAATTGAATTCATCCGTCGAATATATTTTCGAGTAAAAATAAAAAGTGAAGTGATAAACGAAAATACAACTTACTTAAAACCATTTTGCATATAACAAAGTTAATTGTGCATACCTAAAAGTGATTTACAATATAAAACTGAATCATAGTGCAAAGTACTTCACCTTTACTATGAGGTGCAACAAAAGCAAAATAAATAATTTCAATTGAAAATCTGCGCACAAAAGTCAAAAATATTCGAAAATGGATTACAAATATATGTTATTGGTAAGTTTGGTTATCGTTATCTTAGTCAAATAACTGTTAATGCAATCAAATACCATAAATAGATATATACATGTATGAATGTTGCTGATTTGAGTATATAGTCGTACCTATGTCTGTACAACTGTAGTAAAGGGTTTAATTGGAATTTTCGAAGTTTGTGAGGAAATGTTATTATGATGACTTAATTAAAGTGACTTTCGAAAAACATCTATATGCCACAAAAGTGCTCCTTCTGGAGTTCTTGTTTTTGAGGTTGTAAAGTTTGTAAAGGGTGATTCATTTCGAGGAAATTCAAATTTAATGGGGAATGTTTATTATCGTTCGAAAGAACTTTCTTTGGTATTTATTTGTTGTAGATTATTTTTTTTCAAATGTTGTCCGCGATTACGTTTTAGATGATCCATCCGTTGAGTACAATTTTCGATGACTCGTTCGACCATTTCAACTGGTAACTGGCGAGTGATACGCGTGATGTTTTGCTCCAAGACCTGAATCGAAGCGGAATTGTCCACAGGAAAAATTTTAATCAGTCCAAAATGTGAAGTTAGCTGCTCCCGAAGTGTTCTCTAAATAATTTCAGTGATTGATGTATTATTTGGCGCCGTCTTCTTGAAACCAAATGCCGCCGAGATCACGAGCTTCAACTTCATGCATCAAATAGTTTGTTCCCAAGGTTCGCCATGTCGTCATTGACGGTTACGTTCTCATCCGCATCATTTTTGATGAAATGTGGAACGATAATTCCACCACCCACACACCACACCAAACCGTTGTTTTTCTGGATGAAATAGCAGCTCTTCGAATGTTTTCCGGTTGCTCTTCGTTCCAAATGCGGCAATTTTGCTTTTTTACATAAAGCCATAAATGGGCCTCATCGTTAAAATATTTCGAATCTTCTTAGAACTTTTCAATTCAAGATATTGATGTAAGATTCGCCAAGACGTTCCACACTTCAGTCTTGGTTGCCGTGAACGGCACCGAATCGACTCTCCACGTCTTAGTTACTCCCGCTATATTTTCTTCACTGCGTTCTGAACGAGGTCTATTTATTCGAATATTTTCTACTAATGAATGCTGGGTCTCGAGAGGGGTAATAGTGTTGCGAATAGTACGCTCAGTAGGTCGATTATGTTAACCGTAAGTTGAGTGAAGCGCTTGAAACACATTCTTTACAGAACAGGAATTCTTTCCATGATGAAATTCCAAATCTTAATGAACAGAAATAACATAAAAGCTTGGCACGACTCACGCGTGATCTGTCCAAAAAAGCCTATTGAAGAAAGTACCTCTACTTGGATCATTTGAAAGTGAAAGTAGATTACGTTGAGAGCAAAATAGACCAGCCAGAGCATAGTAGAACCAGTTAAAAGAGCTCGAGCCGAAAATTGCATAAAACCCGTTTTTAGAAAGCAATTCCCAAGTCAAATGCTTTAGATTTCTTTTGTAAGGTTAGGTATTTAGATAGATAGATGAGTGTGGTGGATGTTCCCTGCAACTAGTAGTCTATTGTACTCTCCGATTCTTTCACATTATATAACACAGTCCGCTAGAAGGGTTGATTGATTTAATGTGATTTTGCTCCGGCTGAATGGCTCCTTGATGTCTTATAGTCTACTTCTAGCAACAGCTTCGCATTCAAAGAGTAAGTGCACCGGTATCTCTGATAGAAGCTCACAGAAGCATTTGCCTACACAGTCTGCAATGTTCTGTAAGAAATCCTGTTCGTATTCTTATGTCATTCTTACTTATTATGTCCTAAATGTTCTGGTATTTAACTAGTTCATACGCTTTTTTGCTTGTCTCATCCCGTTACTAGTATACCGGTACCTATTTCTTATTATCATTTCTTCGTTTTTAGCTCTTTTTGAATTGTGTGAGCACCTATAGGAAGGAAGGGCTCTGGTCCCGTAAGCGAGTTTGAGACCGCATTTCTCGCAAATTTTTCTCGCTTTTTTCATTCCCTCCAATACCCGTTGGAGGAGGATGATATCTACGTATGAGGTAATGGCGACCAGTTTTGTTTGGAAGATGTTGAGCTATTTTTCCAAAGGTATAAATAGCTCGTAGTCCCCACTCCAATTTCTTCTGCAGTCTTTGATCTATCTGTGTACCTCACCGGCGAAAGTGGTCTTATTTCCTCTTTGATCTGCGTTTCGTTCCGTGACCTCTTCACCTTAAGGATATACTGATTTTGGAATTGAAACTTATATCTTTGATATTTCATCTCAGGTATATTTTCTTTTATTTATGCTTCCTTTTTGGTTGATATAATTTTTCCTTACCCTGATCCCTCCTTCATCCTCGTCAATAGGTCTTTCTTATGTAAAAGTTCTATGGTTTTGTGAAGTGGTTTGAAATCAATGAGAGTTTCTAACGCTGCTGTAGGGCACGTTCCCATGCATCCAGTTATACAGACTCACGCTAATCTTTGCAATTTAACTTAGCTCTTTCTAGCAAGGCAATTGCTCCACATAAGATTATAGGTTTTACTATCTTGATATAGATCCAGTGCAATATTTTAGGCGTGCATCCTCAAATTTTCTCTGCTAATCTTGTGTTCAGATTAGGTTAGGTTACGTTAGCTTGTGGTGGCTACCGATCTATCGTATCGATGACACTTGGGCCTTAACTAAAAAATCAATAATCATCTCTCAAAAGCGCAATCCTTTAATTTTCAAAAAAATAAGGTCCATAACCCCGTCGGACCATAAATCGCACCAAACAGTTTCGAGTTGAGGATGGAGAGGAGTTATAAGATCCTCGAAAAGCAGTTTGCAAGTGTCAAAAGGCATACCAATGCGTTTTTATCGAGAAGAATCTGCATATAAAGTTCAAACCTCAATGTTTATGTGAGCAGGGACTCATGTGAGCGACAGTCTGTTCTCTTTGGCCATCTACTGCAGAGATCGGCTACGGGCCAGCACTATTTTGGAATTTTGTGTAAGCGAGACCAGTGGTTTTATTGCTGCCTGGCTACCGCCTGGAAAATACTGCAATGCTTAGGTAGGTAGAGAGTTTCATAGGATAAGAGGAATTCCTGATAAGGCATCTCCATCAACTCTCCCCTTTCCTTCCCCCATTTTTACCTGCTGGGAATTTTGGGAATTGGCGATCTGAAGTAATTATCAGTGAATTTATTAGGTTCGCATCGATCTGTATATCTTTGTATGAAATCGTAGTTTGCCAATATTTCAAGTGTCCCAACAGTTCTAAAAAATTTGCATTTTAAGCTTCGTAAGAAACGTTGGTCTTATTACTGATACATAGATCCATCGGCAAAACCTGGGGCTTAGACCCCATCTCCTATCTGTAGCCTTTTTGTATGTATCGAGGAATTTATTAGCCACTTTGGTCTTTATTATCTCTCCAGTTTAGTTTCTTGCTTAAGATGAACCATCGTCCCTAAGCTAAGTTGGACACCGTGAAGTGCTAATGGCTTTATAGCGGGGATCTTGTACCTCTTTGTAAACCCATTGGTTAGACCAAGATAATACCATTCTGAGTGTTCTATGCATCCAGTCACAAAGGGCTTATGGGAACAGAGTTAAAAAGAACAGGAAAATTGCTAAGAGCATACGCTGTCCAAATCTAGAGCTTGGAGTCGTTACATATCTATTTATTTTATAAACAAATGACTCATCAGTCTGAAGAAAGTGCAATTTCATGTTTTTCGTGAGTCGATAAAAAAATAATTGGCTCACCTTTTTTTTTATTTGAAGACATGTAAATGTTAGTTCTATAATTAAACAAGAAACAAGAGCTTTGGCCATTTCGAAGTCTTTATACTTTTCTTGGGCATATCAAACTTATTGCAAATGTCAATATTTATTCGAATTTATGGGTGGAAAATAGAAAATACAAAGCTCTTGATGCTCTTCTTTCAACAGATTTTTTATCCTAGACCTCATAGCTGAACAAATTGGTACACGGTAGCCAGTTATAGCCGTCCGATTTCTACAATTCTCAATGAAAATTTTTAGTTGTAGATACGAACCCTTCACGAGCCCAAAAACTCATATCTCAACAATTCGGTTGCATGGGGGCAATGTGGTATAGCCTTCCGATTTCGAAGACTAATAATGGTGTAATACCAAATTTCATGTTCTGATTCTCTTACATAGTTTTTTGACGGAGTTTTGATCAAGTCCGAACCTAGTTTCTGAACAAATATATTACAGGCGGTTTCGACAAATGATCTTTTAAATATAGCAGAGCAGTGCGTCCGCGTACATTGATAAATTAATTCCCCTCGTTATTCTGACCCGATCGGTATAAATTTTAATTGATCTATCTCTTTGCATTCTGGTACTTTCATACCTACTGAATCCGAAAAGTGCTGAGGCTAATCATCATCACAAAGAGAACCATTTATTTTCCATTAAAATTGGCTTCAAAAACCTTCAACGAAATTGTTATTCTCATGCCGGTGTCCACGTCTTCTTCTTTACTGGCATAGACACCGCTGTGTGTTTCTCTTCCTCTGCTTCCACCACCGAGTCCTGCATCGAAAACTTTCATAGCTGTAATGACCTAGCCCACCGCTGTTTCTTGATTCGTTGAACTATGCCAAAGTCGCCGGATATCTCATACAGTTCATAAATCCATCGGCTGTGGTATCGATCGTAGAGGACAATAGATCATACGCAAAACCTTTTCTCTCGAAAACACCGAACGCCGACTCATCAGATGTTGTCATCGACCATGCAGCTGCCTTACATAGCAGGACGGGAACGATGAGTGACTTATAGAGTTTCAAAAGTAAACTTTACTCTTCAATTGCCCACTCTGTCTAAAGTAGAACCTGTTGGCCAGAGTGATTGTGCTTTGGATTTCAAAGCTGACATTATTATTGGTGTTGATGCTGGATCCTAAATAGACGAAATTATCTACAACTTCAAAGTTAAGATAGTCAACAATGAGGTGGGAGCCGAGTTGCGAATGCGATGACTGTTTGTTTGATGATAGAAGATATTTCGTTTTCTTCGTTTTGCCATCGTTCATTACCAGACCCATACTCTTCTCTTCCTTATCCACTCTGAAGAAAACAAAACTCACGGTGCGGTCGTTGAGGCTAATAATGCCAGTATCATTGGCGTATGACAGCAACTGTACACTCTCATAGAAGGTCTACAGTTTTCCCAGTAATAAACGAAAGAAGTCACACGATAGGAAATCAATCTGTATAAAACATCGTTTGGTATCGAAGGGCGCAGGGGCGGGTTTTCCGATCCTGTAGGAGAATTTAGTGTTGCTTAAGGTCAGTTTACATAGCCGTATTCAGACATAGGCAGCTCCTTCCCGTGCTGTCGTAGACTGCTTTAAAGTCGACGTAGAGGTGGTGTTTCGATTCGATCCTCTTTTCATGGGTATTTTCCAAAATTTGGCGCGCGGTGAATATCTGGTCAATGGTTGATTTCCCAAAGCCTCGCTAATAAATTCTCATCTGTTTGTTGACGGTGGGCTTTAGTAGTTTAGGGACACTTTCCATTGATAAGAGCAATCCTTCAAATTGATGTGGCATTTTGGTAATCTGGTATTTATGTCGAAGTATACAAGTTTTCTGTAGATCACGAAATAGAAAATTACGGATATCTGCTTGGCCACATTTAAAGTTTAGGTTAGGGAAATTAATTTGAATCTCTCTACTGCTAATGGCAGAGGATTTATAAAACACACATATTCTTAAAAAACTGACTTAGAAGGTTTCGTAGAAGGCAAATCACAAGCCCGAAGTAGTGATGGGATCTCCGTAATTTTGTACGGAACTTTAACGCTTTTGAAACAGACCTGAGCTCTATTTTGGAAATTTATTAAGCTGATCCTACACCTTTTTCTCGTGAACTAGTTTTCAGTGTGAATATGAGCTCACTTTGCCCTAAGGTTTACCATCTTCTAAAGCTTCATTTAAATCCCAAAGTTTGGGAATTCCATAATAGTTCCGTACGTAGTCATTATTTAACCGGAATGAGTCAACGGTAATAAAGAACTAAAGTTCGTAATTCCCTCCGACTGACGGAGGCACTACAGTTTCCTGGTTCCACTCTGAGGCGAGAGTTCAAAATCCATTCACAACTGAGACTATTAAGCTTCACTTCTTAGCGCTTTTATTAGCGCATCCTCTTAAACTGCTTAACCAAAATACGTTTTATGTTAACTCTTTTATGTATATTTTGTGCTATATTTTCCAGTTACTCACACTCGGTGCTATAGCTGCATTCTCCGGAGCGCAACACGAAAATATACCCTACGAGGATGTGAATGACATTTGTGAGACTTGTGTGTGTTTAACAGCACACGATGGCGACAAGCGTTATCACCACTTACTAAGCTGCACATTGAAGAGATTTAAGCATATATTATCACGTTGGCCAGAGGAATTTGGCAAGAACCACAACAGTAAGCAATCTATTAATATAAATATCATAAGTAATGCGAGCTTAAGCGATTTTTAGCAGAGCTTTTTTATAAAGTAAACAATAATTTTTTTTTTAATTTCCAAGGTGTCGACATTGTGGCCACTTTCTCGTACAACAACATCGAACTGTTGCAACAACTGCCAGCCACAGATGCCAAACTCACATTTTCCTGCCGCCATTGTGGTATTAAGTACCTGCAAGAGCCCACCTTTATTGATGTACCCAACATCAGACGATTGGATTTAAGTTGGAATGAAATAACTAGCGATGTGCTAACACCTGGCGTATTTCGTGGTCCCTATCGTGTGGACCATTACGAGCCCATCGATTTGGTGGACTTGGATTTGAGTCACAATAAATTGCATGCCTTGGATAAAAAGCTGTTTGAGCACACACCAAATTTGACGAAATTAAATTTAAGTTATAACGATTTTACGGTGTTTAATGCACCGACCATTGCGGCGCTGTCGTCGGTAACCAATTTACAGGTATGTACATACATACATCTGTAGACAGTGTGAAATTTAAGCTTATTGCGCTGTTCGGTGACCTGATGGGCAGTAGCAATTGTTACTGTAATTTACTGGCAAATCCTTACTGACATTTCTCAGCGAATAGAGCTTGCATTGGAATGTCAAAATTGTGAACTCTCGTCGCAAATTTTACTGCCTTTTTGCCCCAACAATCGCGGTTCATTCAAAATCGGTAGCAATTGTTTATTGCTCATCAGCTCAACGAAGAGACTGTATATAGACATAATGCTTGCCAATTTTATTTTTCAGGACCTCGATTTGTCTTACACGGCCATTAAAACTGTCTCAGCGTCAATTTTCAAGTCTCTGCTGAATTTGCGCATTTTAAATTTATCTGGTAATCAGTTGACTGCTGTGCCAGATAAGCTGCAACTGGTTGGTAGCAGTTTAATGGCGCTCAACTTAGCCGAAAATCCCATTGAACGCTTTACGGAGCAGAGTTTTATGGGTCTCAAATCACTACAGAGCCTCAATATTAGTGATATGCCTGCATTGAAAGTAATTGACAAAAGGGTATTCACGCACTTGGAGACTCTGAGACGTTTGGATTGCGCACACAATCCGAAATTGGTGGAATTCGATTTGGAGGGTCTTTCGCATTGCAGTAATCTGACAAATGTGAGTGAATACGAGTGCTAAGTAGTCTGTTCAACTACTGGTTAACCGATACAAGATATCTTACTTAAAAATTTCCATTACAGCTTGATATTTCCTACTGTGCACTGACGACAATTTTCGTTATTGCGAATGTCACAAACAAGTCGGAAACGGGCGAAACCACAATGGCTAAACCTTGGCCGCATTTGCATACCTTCGAAACTGTTGGTAATCCTTGGTACTGTAATTGCACGCTTATCCAATCAATGGAATACATTGGGCTACCACAGGGTAGTGCGGACAGTGCAGCACGTTGTGATACACCTTATTACTTCGCGGGCGAATTAATATCCAATTTGACCTCACAGCAAATATGTAGTTTGCGTATACCTAAAAAATTCAAGATCGTCGAAGAGGAGCCACCACGTTTTCTACGTAAACGTTATATCATTTTATCCGTCATAACGGCAGCCGTTGTGGTGTCGGTGGGTGTACTAATTGGTTTTGCCATAGCAGCTATACGTCGAAGACTGAAACGTGATGATTTTGGTGTGGAGCCGATACGGTATACCAGTGTGCGCAGTAGTAATTTATCGGCATTCTCGCACGGCAATACCAATTCGATTGTGGTGAATGGAAATGGTGCGACTAATGGCAATTTATGAGTATTATTATAATGTTTTTCTTTTCTTATAATAGTGTTAGTTTTGTAAAATAAAAAAAATTAAAAAAAAAAATATTTTTGATGAACTTTTCCTACTGCGTATTTACGTAATATATATGTATATATTTATGTACCTATAGAATATATTCTTAGTAAGCTTAAGTACTAAAACTATAATTTATTGTTTATATTCACAAGAATATTTGTTTTTATTTATAAGAAATGTTTCATAAGAATGTCCAACGCATTATCAGCTGCTTTTCGGACCATCAGAAAACTTAGGTAGCGATTTATTTTACCAAAGATGTTATACAACAGACGTACGTATGTATGTAAAAATAAACGAGATCGGAAAAACTACAATTTGATCGTTTTGAAAATAATTATGTATGTATTTATTTTATTATTTATATTAGCGTTATATATATAGTATTTTAAATTAAAAGACGCTCAAGAGAAGTATTGTAATTGCCATGTTTTTTTATGAATATACGTATTTATGTGTGTACTTAATATTAAAACACTAGTTATAAGAAAATCAAATTTGACTTTTTTTTAACAATTTTTTTAACTTCAAATGAAATGTTGTAAACGTTCTAATGTTATTTACAATTTGTTAGAAAATTAAATACAATAAATAAATTTACCGAGTAAAAGAATTTATTTGATTATTATTTTTATTTTTATAATGATTCCGTATTCAAATTTAACAATCCTAGAATTAAAACAAATGAGAACATTAAAATCAACTTGATAAACCGTTATCACTTTGTGATTCGTGAAAGAGCGCCGTCTAGTAGTTTGGAGCTTTAATTGTATAAACCTACATATGCATGTATGCCTGTATGGATATATGCTTTTTTTGTTTGCTTATAATTGCAATGAAAAATGGAACCTTAAGAGAAAAAGAAAAACGAAACACAAACGATTAAAGTATAAAGTAAAGTTTAAGGCTAATCTTATCATGTCACAGATAAAAGCACATTGGGCGGAGAGGTATGACAAAGTGCAGCAAAAATTAGGGTTTGCAAATTCGTATATATTATATAACGTATATATCAGCGTATAAATGTATATGCATCAGTAAATATATGCAATATAAAAAATAAAGTACTGTAAAATTGTGCTATGAAGGCTGCGTAAACATCAGTAAATCTTAAATCTGAGTCAAATTCATAGTTTATAACGTTTTGTATGTTTAAATACATATACAAGGTATAAATATTTAGATTTAAAATTAAAATTTCTATTTAAAGTTTTCATCTTAGAACTCGTTAAAGTACGATTACCTAGACAAAACTTCATTTTATTAGATACATTTAGGTCACACATATGTATGCTTGACGCCTTTCTCTTGTGTTTTAAAAGCCTATCTGTTACAGTCGAGAAAGCCTAACGTTAATTACATGCATTAGAAACACATATGTATTTATACAAACACATCAATTAATGCATGCAAATAATAACAAAAATAACAATAAAATTAGAAATGTTTGCTAATAAAAATGCATAACAAATTGTATCCTAACCTAACCGCTGTCGTAGACTTTCAATTATTATAGAAGTCAGAGAAGTCATTTAACCTTCACCACAATTTGAATATTTAAACACAGCGCATCGCTTTAACATTCACTTTCTAATATTTCCTCATCGCCCGTTGTAGTTATTGGCGCTGTGGCATCTAATTTGAATATATTGATAGCTTGCTTTTGTGCCAAAAAGTTACGCATTTCAGCAAAATTATCACGATCCTTTAATTTTTTATTGGTTCTCTGCAATTCCAAATCAGCTGAACCCTCACTATCGCTAGCGCCATCGTCATTATGTTCAGCAACAATACTACTTGCATTGTTCTGTGACTTAACGCCCTCTATAGTTCTTGTATTTTCTTCTTTGCCAAAGAAATCATCAACATTAATACCTTTCGCTGCCAGCACTTGACGTTCTTTCTCTAGCATTTCATTACGTATTGGGTCGATACGATCTTTCAATTGTTTTAGTACCGGCCGAAATTTGCCCTTAGTGATGCGTTTTTCGAAATTTAAGATTTCCATATCACGATCAGTGCTACTCTGTGCTCTAACATCTGCTTCTTGCTGTTCTCGCTCGGCCTGCGCCTGTTGTTCATCGTACATGTATGCATAGAAATCATCGCGATTGTTTGAATCATTATGATTTTGTGAAATTTCTACGCGCAAAAAACTTTCAGGGAACTCATCATTATTGGCTGCACTGCTTTCATTTTCTGCTGCAGTTGGATGCTCTTGATTATCTAAGTTGCTATTCAAGAATTTATTGTAGACCAACATGAGACGCTGAAAGTCGTCAAAGCATACAGATAATGCGCTCTCGATGGCTCGCATATTATTTGCAACTTGAAGTAGATGCTTGGCATTATCCTTCTGTTCAGCTTCAGTCTCCGTGAGACGTTGCAATGTAATATCTAGTGCTTGGCATTCTCCGGCTACGGCAACCATGCAAGCACTTAATTTGAGCGAAGAATCTTGCAGCACTGCGACGGGACTGGATCGATTTTGCATAGCTTTTGTGGCATTTAATGCCTCTAATTCTAGTTGTTTCCTTTTATTAAGCTCTATAGCCAAATTTCGGAAATGATTTTCTTCTTCCTGCACCAGTTGTCGAATTAGACAATCAATCTTAACTAACTCGGCATTCAGCTCGCTGATTGACGGCTTTGTTGAGATCGTCAAGGCAAGTCGTAGCAAAAATTGTGATTGCACATATGCAAAAATGTTGTGAAAGTCCTGGAAAAAAGTTATAGCATTTTTTCATAAATCCGTTAGTTAGAAATGTTATTATGTATGCCAATTACTCACTTTGATGTGCTTCGGACTGTAATCCGTTACGTTGTTCTTGAAATATTCACATTCCCGCAATTCCTCCATTGGCGAGTAATACTGTGCGAATCGTGCCGGTAGTGGATACTGCGCTTCCAACTTTCGTGTTGCATCATACAATATTTCTGTAACCTCCTTTGCGGATGTAATACAGTCCCAAGCACGTTCTATCTGGCGAGATCTTCACTCAAGCAAAATCAAAGTTTATTGTTAATAAAAATTTATTGCACCTCATTTTCTACTTACTCTATCAGCTCTTGTTGCTTCATTATGAGTATTTCATTGAAATACGTCATATTGCGTCGAATGCAATTACCAAACTCATCAATTGTGCGAATCAAACTGTCCAATTCACCTTCGACAATTTTATTACGAAATATAAATATATTTTTAATCATATAAACAGCACTAAAGCCGGTCGTCAAGAGTAACGATGGGACCAATGTCAAACGTAACCATTTCGGTGTAACGAAGTGTTCCAATATTGTGGTGCCTAATAATATACAAGTATTTCGCGCTGTAAAGATTTCAGTATTTGTTTGTGCATAGGCAATCCTCTCTGTGGCACTCGAAGTGGCAGCAGTACCACTCGTGTCCGTTTGGTCCGGTGACACTACCGGCTGTTTTACATGACGCAAACATTGTTCTAAAGCCTCCACATGATCAACAAGTAATCGTTTGGAGAAGAGTATTTTATTTATCAGATGATCCGAGATTGCCTATTGCACGTAAGATAATAAAGCTGTTCATTACAGTACATAAATTTACATAAATATATACACACTCACCTGCTTTTGCTTCACCTCATCGGCGAATTGTGTTCTAAATTGTGGTTGGAAAAATGATTCTATTGCAGAGGCCCTGCCTCCAGCATTTGGTGATGTTGTTCTATTATGTAAACCGCAAATTCTCATTTTGCACTTATATATAGATATATTAATAAATAAAACTTTATTTTGTTTTTATGAAAACACTGCTGATATCTTCTTGATATTTGCTAACGTCCAATACATCTAATATACTAGAGATGAATGAAATAACGATATGTTTATCAAGCACAACTTTGGGAGATTTCATTGATTTTAAGTTTTCTAGTGCAATTATCTCAAAGAGTAATAAATATCCTTTTATTTATAATAATAAAAAAACTAAATATATTTAAGATCTTTAACGATCCCCCTTGATATATTTAGAAACCTGATAGTTATTTTATCGCAAAAAGCAATCGATATTTTTATACGTCGATGTAGCGGCGGAAACATAGGAGATTTTATTGAGTTGCCAACTACCTTTGATTTAAATTGCTAAATGTGAAGGCAGCCGATTTTAAAATATAGAAAAGGATTTATTTCTTGATTATTAAAAACAATGTAAATATCTGGTAAGGAATAGATATAGTTTGACAAAAGAAAAAAAATCTGCTAATATATTCCAATTCATATCAGTGCCAGCTTATTCATTCAACCATCACTAGTTTGGGCAGATAAAATTTGGGTCAGAAAACAACAGATAAAGTGCAAAGGACAGTGGGTAGATACTTGAAACTATTAGATATAAATGTTTCGAATACCGCTGAAACTCAACTCCAAAGTCAATAACTTTAAAATTCTGATCTAATTAATTGAGATTCTCATTATACCAGCAAGGTCGGCTATACAGCTTTTTAGTATCAAACCGTCTAACCGACAGCTCTTAAGCCCGATAAAGTGGCTGGTATGAAATCAGAGAGCAGCGACAGAACTGGGTAATAGTGAAACAAAGCTGGGGAAGCTACAAATATGTTAAAAAAGCGTGTTTGAAACCTTGACGCAAGTATTCGAATTGTTACAGTTCACAGCTTGCACATCAAGAAGACCTAAGGCCAGACATAATGGCAAACTCCACATCTAGTTTTCGATTTATATGTATGAGTTCTGATTTACCAAATGATACACATATAAGGTTACAACAAAACCGACCCTGCGCGCGAACTGTCCGGGGAGTATTGGATCTGTCATATCGGACATTGAGGAATCCTCATTATCGCCCTGGTTACAGAGGTGGATCATGGGCTACCTGAGTGGTTGTCAATCATTGGTAATATTTAGAGGTGAAACATGGAAGCTAAGGGAAATTAAACAAGGGGTTCGGCGAGTGGTGTCCTCTCCCCACTATTGTTCAATTTCTATATTTCGAAACTCCCTCCTCTACCAGGAGGGCCATAAATAACCCAAAAATATTGGGGACACACTATACAGCTTGCATTCCTTCACTCCGCATTCGACCGCAATTGCCGCAAAACTCTAGAGCTGCAATAAAATACTAAAAGCGCTAGTCGGCTGCAGCTGAGGCAAAAATAGAGAAAGCTTGCTGGCCATTTATGAAATAGTTGGCCGGCCGGTCATTAACTATGCTGCACCGATCTGGGCGCCAGGGACGAACGAGACGCAGAAGGTGAAGTTACAGGAAACCTCCTGATGTCGCCTGAGCCTCACTTGCACAGTGAAGTATCTATGCTACGTGTTAAGAAGCATAGAAGCGAAGCCGAACCTTCACCCAGACACATCAAAAAGGGAGTACTATATATGAAGAACACCATCCTGCAACACGTGCACCAACTGCTGAACAAGACGGCTTACAGACAAGCACTGAAAGCCATTCACCAGGAGCCAGTCAACATCTTCAAAGACTCCCTTGCCGTGAATGGCGTACTCGAAACAAAAGCACCATCTATTGCAGACAATGAGCTCGAGCGGCCTCGAGAGAACCACGTGACACTGGCACAACTATGTTTGGATTGTATAACAGGTTAAACTCCTACTTATCCAGACTGGACCCCAACATACCCACATTTCCCTTCTACTTCACATTCCCCTTAAAGCCAACACAGCACGTTCCTAAACCTCCTCAACGCTAATTTTCACTACCAATTTCAATTTAATACAATTTTTATTATTTTTTTGGTTTATTCATTATATGTTTGTATATGATTAGGAATTAATTTTTACAATAAGATTTGAATGTATATTAATGAAAATATTCTTCACGCATTAATTTTGGCGTCGAGCTCGCTACTTCATTCGCCAAGTTTAGTTCACAGTTGTTCCTTCCTTTCGTCTCACTTTAAGCTAATTATTTAGTATGCTTGAATGTTTACAATTTGTTACACCACGAATAAACTTCCGGAACAGCGGGGCTATAGTTCACATTGTACATCTGAGACTTGATAAATTCACAGATATTCTCTGGTTTTGGGAACACGGTGGCAAGACCTAAAATTGTGTTGTAAAACAGGGACATGAAATAGTTTGTAATTTGTTTAATTTCAAGTAGAAACTCACCTTCGTCGTAAGCGTATTTCACAATCGCAACGGCAATCCCTATTGAGCATTCAGTGATCTTTTCCAAAGGTGGGTACAGACTGCCCTTCGCCAAGTCTTCTTCTTGGCTCATCAACGACAGCTCCTGGGCTGCCATTAGGAATATTTCTTCGGGAATGGTTTTAATACCGGCGGCGATAACAGCTAATCCTACGCCTGGGAAAATATATGAATTGTTACCTTGACCTGGGTAGAAGGTCTTGCCTTTGTACGTAACAGGTGCGAAGGGTGAACCAGATGAGAAAATAACACGTCCATCAGTGTTTTGGTAAGCCTGCTCGGCAGTGCACTCCGCCTTGCTGGTAGGATTCGATAGTGCAAAGATGACAGGTCGTTCATTCAGCTCGGCCATTAATTGTAGAATTTCTGGTGTGAATGCACCACCTACAGCAGCGGCACCAATCAACATAGTGGGCTTGACAGTCTTAACGGCATCGAGCAAAGTGTCAACGGGTTCGTGTTGATGCGCAAAATGTAGCTTATGTTCAGACAAACCACCACTTGGACGGTTTTTCACAATCAAACCGCGACTATCCACAAGCCATATGCGATCCAATGCCTCCTTGTCGGTAAGACCCAAGCGGATCATAGCGATTTTGCAAAGATTCGCTATACCCAAAGCGGCTTCACCAGCGCCAAAGAACAAAATCTTATTTTCCATTAATGTTGTTTCAGTTAGCCTCAAAGATGCCAAAATACCAGCTACCGCAACGGACGCAGTACCTTGGATGTCATCGTTGAAAGTGCAGTAATTATCACGGTATTTATCCAAAAGGCGGAATGCATTACTATTGCCGAAATCCTCGAACTGAATGAGACAATTTCGACCAAAACGACGTACTACAGCCTGCATGAATTCATCAATAAAGGCATCATACTCCTGACCGGTAATACGCTTGTGACGTAGACCAATATACAAGGGATCATCCAAAATGCTTTGTGTATTCGTGCCTACATCGAGTGTAATGGGCAAGCATTGATGTGGCTTCACGCCTGCCAAAGCTGTGTAAAGCGAAAGTTTACCCACAGGTATACCCATGCCGTTGGCACCCAAATCACCAAGACCCAAAATACGTTCACCATCTGTGACTACAATAGCGCGGATATCTGTTTCTGGCCAATTCTGTAAGAGAGAATACAATAGATGGTTATTTTATAATAATATTATGTGTTTATAAGAGTCAACCATACCTTAAGTACATCATAGACATGTCCTTTATCTCTGATGGTAATGTAAAGACCCTTAGGATTTTGGAATATCAAACTGAATTTTTGGCAAGCCAAACCAACAGTCGGTGTGTATACCAAGGGCATCATGTTGGAGATATCTGAAGCGAGCACTTTATAGAAAAGACGCTCATTGCGTTCAGCCAGACTGGAGAGATACATATATTTGTCCAAGTCATTTTCCAAACGATCCAGTAAGATGCGTGCATGCTTCAGTTGCTCCTCTTCGGTTTTAACCACAGCAGGTAATAGACCTTGAATGCCGAGTAATTGGCGTTCTTCAACGGTGAAGGCTAAACCCTGACATAAATAAAAACAAATGAGAAAAACAATTAATTACGATGCATTTAATACAAATTACTTTAACTGTACATAACAAAAATGTAAATAAACTATTTAATAAGAAAATTTTAAGACCTAACATAGCGCATTGATTAAGTTTTCTCAGTCACAGCAGAGTTTTTCTAATGAGGGTTAAGTCTTCTTCGCTGGCTGAGAGAACGAATGAGAATGAGAATAACGCGCTCCTGCAAAACGGTAGATTTTTCAGGCAAAATGTTTACTAGAAAACTTGGTAAAATCGCCCCAGCAGAGAGTGCCAATTACTTAAAATTAATATATTAAAAGCTTCTTATAAAAATCCAAAAGCCGTTGAAAGGCTTTACTACAATATTGACGAATAACAGTGTAGTCCATTGCTACCATTTGTAATAAAATAGATTGTCACACGCTGCAAAGTCCCGGTCTTTATGGTAGGTGTATCAGAACATCCCAACAAAGCTCTTCCGATTTATGAGAAGCTTTGATTTCATGCTAGAAATACATTCGCGAAGCTTGACATTCTCTGTTGAATTGGGACAGCAAAGAGAAAAATTAATTTTCTATAATTTTTTTTTTGAATATTGGTGGAACTAGGACTCTAACCCTCCGCTTTCCGAATGGCAGTACGCAATGCTATAATCCGATATAAGAGTTCTGCTTTCTCAAAACTGTATCAGCAAGCGAAGTACATATATGAGTTTGGTAGTGAAGGAGAGCAAGACGAACTATCTCTCATCCGCAAACAAACAGTCGGGGTATTCGCGACTCGGGTCTCACGTCACTGTTGACAGTCATAATTTTTAAGTCATAGATCACTTCGTCTATTTTAGAACTGGCATTAACACCAGCAACAATGTTAGCCGGGAAAACCAGCGCAGAATAACTCTCTACAGGCGCTACTACGGAGTGGGTAGGCAAATGAGAAGCAAAGTTCTCTCTCGAGGAACGAAGACTTGACTCTAAAAATCGCTCATCATTTCTGTCCTATTATATAGTGCGGAGGCATGGACGATGACAACAACTGATGAGACGGCGTTAGGTGTTTTTTAGAGAAAGCTTTTGCGCAAGATTTATGGTACTCTACAAGTTGGGAACGGCGAATACCGCAGGCGATGGAACGATGAGCTTTACGAACTACGTTGACATATATAGTTCAGCGAATAAGGAAACAGCGGCAGGACGTATAAAAAAATACTCCAACTTTGAATGTTTTCGATGTAGTACCAGCCCGTGGAACTGGGAAAGCGGAGGAAAGGAAGGATTGAATGGCGCAATATTGTTAGCTCGGCTATAATCGCGTAAGCGCTGTCTACGACAGTAAAGAAGAAGAAGATATACAAGTGTCAACAAGAGTTTTTTTAACCACACAATTTAATGCTGGTAGATCTAGTAAAAGAGAGTTTAGTGCTAAAATTGCTGGGGGACGGAGACTCAATGAGTTTATGAGGGGAAACTAGTCTTTTGGCCTCGTAATGTGGTCAAACGTAGTATTAAGATCAAAAACATACCATGTAGAAAGACGTTATTTTTTCAAGCATAACATAAATTTGAGGTTATGTTAACCAGCAAATTGAATTCAATTCGATCTAAATAAGCTTTAACTGAGTAATTTTTTTACAAACAAAAGTTGGGTATTTTACTTATGGAAAGCATCGTATACTGTCTATCAATAGTGAACTTTAAAATCCAAATTAATTTATATTTGTCAAGAGTGTGTGATAAGGTCTAAACTTTTACTACTAAACAATTAAACGTTTTAACTTATAGAGCTGTAGACTGATAATCAAATCAGCACATCTCGCGTTTATGGCATGCTAGAAACACGCTTGAAAATAAAATAGAAATTCGTATTTTTGTATTAAAATGACCTTGCAGAAATTCAAATAAATTTGATTTAAATACAACAACAAAAAAATAATATTACAAATTACATTACTTTTCATAAAAAAACATGCGATTTTTGAAAGTACGACCGGCGTGCGCCACCCATCGGGTGATCGCAAACTTTTAGCGATAAGTGTGCTCATAAATATATTCACTTGGGTGTATCGTATGTATATTTAAACTATGTATACGTGTAAGTAAATGTAAAATTAAATTTCAAAAAGGCGCGTCGGGTAAAGTTCATGTTTTCATTATTTCTTTATTTAATTATGTTTGTGTTGCTATCAGAGCGGAGATCAACGAAAATGTATGGTAAACTGATATAAATTTGTTTAAACTATAAGCATTATTATAATAATCTACTTTTTATATAAATTTTTGGAATTTCTATAGTTTGAAATAAATTGTTTTTGAACAAAAATAGCATATATATTTTCTTTTTAATTTTTTTTATATGTACATACATAAAACTTTTTTAGAAATTTTTGGTTGAAATTGAGCTTTTTCTCTAACTAAAATAATTGCGAATTTCAAATAGATTTTAATTAAACTTTATATTTCTACGATATTTTGAAATTTATTTTCGCTACACAGTTGCATATATGTACATAGTTTGTCATGTATATAGATATACTTATAAGTTTTTTATGCGATCTTTTTTTTTTTTTTTTTGGTTTCAAGTTCAATGTCAACCGATCACTTTTGTAAGCGATTCTCTAGCCGTACACTTTATTTATTTATCATGTGGATACACATGCAATATATGTATGTATATAGCTTACATATGTATGTATATACATAGCAAATGCATATAATTATAGTATATTTGTTTACTTATGGCAAAGCTTGTCATTGCTAACTTTTATTGCTCACACAGCTGCGTTGTTTTTTTTTAAGTTTTTTTCTGTATTTAAAATAATCATTAACGCGAATTAAAAAGTACTTTCGATTTTACGCAAATTCGTCCACATATGTACATACATACATATGCAGGTATATACAAATAGATGAACATATGCACATATATGTTCACAAGAGCGATTGATCGTATGCCAAGCTTTCATTATAGCGATTAATTAGCTTTACTCAAACTAACTTTATTTATGCCTTTAATGTCTTTATGCTATAAAATTGAATTTTTACATTTTTTGAGAAAATGCTAGAAGGAATTTTATCACTTACTACGGAACAAGAGTATACGCCTCAAGCGAATTTTCCTTTATAAAATAGTATCGTATAATTTTTCATACGAATAAATATATTGGAAGGAATTCTCATAAAAATTAATGTCCCATATACATATATGTAGGCTTATAATAACAACTCACACACATAGAATATAAGATAGTAATTACGTAAAAAAAATATAGCGAAAAATCCGCTTGCTCATGCTGCGGCAGTAAAAAGTGAATTAACTTTTTCTACGCCAATTACATTGAAATGCTAAGAATGAAGAACTCCCTTCATTATTTATTTTGATATAAAACATTTATTGGAAATTTAGTTACAAGTATTTTGTTAGTGTAAATTTATTAAATATCTTTCTTCAATAAAAAATTATAATGTCTGGGTCATCTACTTCATTTTTGAGCTATAGTTTATTTGAGATTTGACATCTTGAATGACATACCGGATATGTAAAAAATTCGCCGCTTACGAAATGGTTAAGTTTATTTCTTCTTCTTCTGTTTTACTGACGTAGTCATCGCTTACGCGATTACAAACGAGTTAAAAACAACGCAACATTCCTTTTTTCTTTTCGCTGTTTGTCGCCAATTGGAAATACCAAGTACAGCCAGGTGCTTCTCCACTTGACCTCTCTATCGGAATGGAGCCTTTCTCGTCTTCTGCTTCCACCAGCGCGTACTGCATCGAAATCTTTCAAAGCTAGAGTGTTCCCATTCATTCGTAGCCGCTGTCTTTTGATTGGCTGAACTATGTCAGAGACACAGCATAAGACGCAAAGCTCATCGTTTCATCGGTTAAAGCCGTATACGCCGTTGCCAATGCGCAATCTTTCTCTCGTAAATTTTTCGCTCAAAGGAAATTAGGAAATTTTGATCAGGACTTACTTCCAAAATTGTGAGTATTTAACTTCGCGAAAATCCCGCACTAAACTCGTGCGAAATACGACGAGCTCCATCCAGTGTGTACAGATGAAAGTACTGCTGCTGTAGCTCAAAGTGTGCTCCAACAGCCATCAACATGAAGTGTCAACCAATCGTATAAGTTATTCTGTTCGCGCTATTCTTTCTGCACAATTTTGCATTTAGACCCTGGTATTAAGGTTTATAAAGTCCTATTGGTCAAAAACTGAAGCGTCATGGGTATTTGATGCGATTTCGCTTCGCTCAATGGGCTGAAGGTCGCTGGGCGAAAGATGAGGACTTCTACCGAAAAATTTTGTTTTCTTTTAAAGCTGATTTCCACACGTAGGAGTATCATGACAAAGCCAATGCGTGCTCAACTAATGCCAGTTTGGTGCAACATGTGGATCGGCGGTATTATTAGTATTTTCGCAAACGAGGAGAGAGCTAACGTTACTATCAATGCCCATCCTTACCGTGTCAGGCTCAAAGATTATTTGACTTCAAATTTTTTAATAAAACTACATATGTTTTAAAACCTAAATTAACATTTAAAAGTTAGTTCTTTAACTGATCTTATGCATATCTACAAAATTTTTTTGTTTTATTTAAATTTAATTTTTTTCTTAAATAAAATGGAAATTTTTTTCTATTTTTTTACACATAAATAAATATTTATATTTTTATTTTTTATTATTATTTTAGTTAAAAAAGATTCAATTTTTTCAGTCAAAATCTCGAAGTTGCATTAGTGTTCTTAAAAAAAAAAATTTTTTAGTCGCATAAAATTTTCACAATAGAAAAAAATATGTCATAAATTCTAAGCATAAAATTAAAAACTCTATTTGACAACAGAAAATGACAAGAGTTCCTTTACTGATCTCATGCATAATTATAAGATTTTTTGTTTTTAATTCAATTTTTATTTAATTTTAATTGTTATTTTTCTAAATAAATTGAAAATTGTCTACCACTTTTTCCGACATAAATAATAATTATTTTAAATTT